CATGATACATGGCCCCATTCATTCTTTCCTTTACACGGATCAGTCGTTCTGGTCCCTTTGCAGAAAAACAGCCCCAAAGCATAATGTTTCCACCCCCATGCTTCACAGTAGGTATGGTGTTCTTTGGATGCAACCTAGCATTCTTTGTCCTCCAAACACGACAAGTTGAGTTTTTACCAAAAAGTTATATTTTGGTTTCATCTGACCATATGACATTCTCCCAATCCTCTTCTGGATCATCCAAATGCACTCTAGCAAACTTCAGACGGGCCTGGACATGTACTGGCTTAAGCAGGGCGACACGTCTGCACTGCAGGATTTGAGTCCCTGGCGGCGTAGTGTGTTACTGATGGTAGGCTTTGTTACTTTGGTCCCAGCTCTCTGCAGGTCATTCACTAGGTCCCCCCGTGTGGTTCTGGGATTTTTGCTCACTGTTCTTGTGATCATTTTGACCCCACGGGGTGAGATCTTGCGTGGAGCCCCAGATCGAGGGAGATTATCAGTGGTCTTGTATGTCTTCCATTTCCTAATAATTGCTCCCACAGTTGATTTCTTCAAACCAAGCTGCTTACCTATTGCAGATTCAGTCTTCCCAGCCTGGTGCAGGTCTACAATGTTGTTTCTGGTGACCTTTGACAGCTCTTTGGTCTTGGCAATTGTGGAGTTTGGAGTGTGACTGTTTGAGGTTGTGGACAGGTGTCTTTTATACTGATAACAAGTTCAAACAGGTGCCATTAATACAGGTAACGAGTGGAGGACAGAGGAGCCTCTTAAAGAAGAAGTTACAGGTCTGTGAGAGCCAGAAATCTAGCTTGTTTGTAGGTGACCAAATACTTATTTTCCACCATAATTTGCAAATAAATTAATTAAAAATCCTACAATGTGATTTTCTGGAGAAAATAAATCTCAATTTGTCTGTCATAGTTGACGTGTACCTATGATGAAAATTACAGGCCTCTCTAATCTTTTTAAGTGGGAGAACTTGCACAATTGGTGGCTGACTAAATACTTTTTTCCCCCACTGTAATAATAAATACAATAATCATGAAAAACAGTTATTGATGAAAGAGACTTTAACTAGGACTATAAAACAATGATGAAATATTTTCAAGATGTTATTATTTTATGGCTTATATTTCTTGTGGATGTTGATAAATAACACCTGGGGACATGGCAAAAACGCCTACATCCACTATTATATTTAAAGCCTTTTGGAATCCACATTTTACACTAAATAAGGACTGATATTTCCTGGGCTTTTTCAAGCTGCTAAGGTTAACTGGGATTTAAAAAAATACCTTATGTACATAATAATTCAGACCCTTTGCTATTAGACTCGAAATTGAGCTCAGGTGCATCCTATTTCCATTGGTCATCATTGAGAAGTTTCTACAACTTGATTGGAGTCCACCTGTGGTAAATTCAATTGATCGGATATGATTTGGAAAGGCACACACCTGTCTATATAAGTCACACAGTTGACAGTGCATGTCAGAGCAAAAACCAAGCCATGAGGTCGAAGGAATTGTCCGTACAGCTCAGAGACAGGATTGTGTAGAGGCACAGATCTGGGGAAGGGTACCAAAACAATTCTACAGCATTGAAGGTCCCGACCTTTTTTTCTCCCCAATTTCGTGGTATCCAATTGGTAGTTACAGTCCTGTCCCATCGCTGCAACTCCCATACGGACACGGGAGAGGCGAAGGTCGAGAGCCGTGTGTCCTCCGAAACACAACCCAACCGAGCCGCACTGCTTCTTGACATAATGCTCGCTTAACCCGGAAGCCAGCTGCTCGGCCTCCATCATTCTTAAATGGAAGAAGTTTGGAACCACCAAGACTCTTCCTAGTGCTGGCTGTATGGCCAAACTGAGCAATCGGGGGAGAAGGGCCTTGGTCAGGGAGGTGACCAAGAACCCGATGGTCACTCTGACAGAGCTCCAGAGTTCCTCTGTGGAGATGGAAGAACCTTCCAGAAGGACAACCATCTCTGCAGCACTCCACCAATCAGGCCTTTATGGTAGAGTGGCCAGACGGAAACCACTCCTCATTAAAAGGCACATAACAGCCCACTTGGAGTATGCCAAAGGGCACCTAAAGGATTCTCAGACCATGAAAAACACTATTCTCTGGTCTGATTAAACCAAGATTGAACTCTTTGGCCTGAATGCCAAGCGTCATGCCTGGAGGAAACCTGGCACCATGCCTACGGTGAAGCATGGTGGTGGCAGCATCATGCTGTGGGGATGTTTTTGAGCGGCAGGGACTGGGACACTAGTCAGGATCGAGGGAAAGATGAACGGAGCAAAGTACAGAGCGATCCTTGATGAAAACCTGCTCCAGAGCACTCAGGACCTCAGACTGGGGCCAAGGTTCACCGTCCAACAGGACAATGACCCTAAGCACACAGCCAAGACAACGCAGGAGTGGCTTCGAGACAAGTCTCTGAATGTCCTTGAGTGGTCCAGCCAGAGGCCGGACTCGAACCCGATCATACATCTCTGGAGAGTCCTGAAAGTAGCTGTGCAGCGACGCTCCCTATCCTACCTGACAGAGCTTGAGAGGATCTGCAGAGAACAATGGGAGAAACTCCCCAAATACAGGTGTGCCAAGCTTGTAGTGTCATACCCAAGAAGACTTGAGGCTGTAATCGCTGCCAAAGGCGCTTCAACAAAATACTGAGTAAAGGGTCTGAATATGTTATATTTCAGTTTATTATTATTTTAAATCAATTTGCAAATAAATCTAAAAACCTGTTTTTGCTTTGTGATTTTGGGTATTGTGTGTAGATGGGGGGGGGGGGGGACAATTTAATCCATTTTAAAATAAGGCTGTAACGTAACAAAATGTGGAAAATATCAAGGGGTCTGAATACTTTCTTAATTCACTGTAGCATGCTTCTGTCTATAATGTAAGCTGCTCAGTATGTGTTGATAGTCCATTCTACTGCACCATTTTTGAAAGATATAATGTTAGCCATTGAGAACTACAAAGGTTTTTGCTACATTTCCCAACAACATTGATTCCCTGAATTTAGCAGGCGCCATTGACAGATCAGTTGGAAAAAGTGATGGGCTACTTTCTACACACACCATGGTCAGTGTGAACCGGAGTGACTTGACACAACGCTGGCCAAACAAGATGTAGCTACAAACAAAACTGAGTTAAATGCTTCCAGTCTGCCATGAAGCATTCATCCATGTATACAGGTAAGAGGCTAGCTACATTTTCAGATATTATACACTGAACAAAAATATAAACGCAACATGTCAAGTGTTGGTCCCATGTTTCAGGAGCTAAAATAAAGATCCCAGAAACATTCCATAAGCACAAAAAGCTTATTTCTCTCAAATGTTGTGCACAAAATTGTTTATATCCCTGTTAGTGAGCATTTCTCCTTAGCCAAGATAATCCATCCACCTGACATGTGTGGCATATCAAGAAGCTGAATAAACAGCATGATCATTACACTGGTGCACCTTGTGCTGGGGACAATAAAAGTATACTTTAAAATGTGCAGTTATGTCACACAACACAATTGCTGAGGAGTATTTCTGTCTGTAATAAAGCCCTTTTGTGGAGAAAAGCTCATTCTGATTGGCTGGGCCTGGCTCCCCAGTGGGTGGGCCTGGCTGCCAACTCACCCATGGCTGCACCCCTGCCTAGTGATTAGGGCAAAATGAATGTATTTCAATTGACTGATTTCCTTATATGAACTGCAACTCAGTAAAACCTTTCAAATTGATGCATGTTGCATTTATATTTTTTCAGTATAAGTATTCTAATTTTGTCAGAAAGTCATTTTCATTGCAAGTTAAAGCGTACTGTTCGAAAGCTAGCGAACGTTAGCTTGCTGGGTTGCTTGTTAACATTGCGTGTATGATCTGTGTAGTAATATTATTTGAATCAGAAATCCATTTACATTGCTAGTTATAGCCTAATGTTAGCTAGCTAACATTGAACCTAGTTGGTTAGCTCTTTATCTACCTGCAGATTCATGCTACAGTTATGACAATGTTTGCATTGGTAGTAGTATGAGTTGGGATTATGCCGGTTCATTATTTAGCTAGCTAGCTAGCTACAATGTCTAAACAAAAGACTCCATGACCAACCAAGTTAGCCAGGTGTGTCTGGGGGTGATTATAGCCATCTATTGTATTTCATGAACATGTGTTCATGTCTAGACAATAGTGACCCATTCACTTAGCTAGGGGGGGGGTTTATAACATTTATTTCACATGACCCATCAATTTAGACAAGTGTGTTGGGTAAGCATCATCTAATAATTATAAAATATTCATAAAATATTTATATCTGGACACTTTTTGTTTTTGATATTGCTACTTTTCAAGTAACCATTTCACTGTACCATTTAAACCTTCTGTATCCAGTGCATGTGACAAATAAACTGATTTAATTTGATATAGTGTGCATTTACCAGAGATGGTAATGTGAAGAAGAACATGACCTGCACCAAAGTTAGATTAGGATATAGGCCAAGAATGAGATAAAGTGTATTTTTATCTGGAGTTTTTCCTTATTGTAGGCTACTACTTTTACCACTTTTAGTCTTGAAATCTTTATTGTAGGCTACTACTTTTACCACTTTCTTTTCAAAATTATTTCCTTGCAATATTATTTATTTTGCTGTCAATACTTTTGGTTAATGTTTTGTTTTCAATATCATTATTTTTGTTTGCAATACTAAGAATGTTGTTCTCCAATTCAAAAGGTTTTCTTGATATTTAAGGCACAAAAGTAATTCGATACACACGCGCCTTTGCGCGCTCTGGAGCTCCCTCAGCCCCCTCCTGACAGCGAATGTCTCTGGGATGAGCGTGAGGTCCCACTCTGTCTGTCAGCTGCGCTACACCTCGCTTGAAACAGCAGTGCGCGAAATACCCACTCGCCAACTGAATGGACACGCCGACGCGCACGCTGTTTGTTTATTTATTTCGGAGAACACGCGAATGGGGTTATCCCGAGAGGCGTCAAGGTTGCACTTACCGATTGCCACTCTCCCTTGCTCCACCGGTACCGAGAGGGGCAGTCAGTGACCCGGCAGGTCTGGCTGGAAGCCGGACGGGAGGATGGGGGGCATTCAGTCTCCTCCGGGTTGCGCCGGTTTCCAACCTCACAGAAAACTTCCCGCTCTTGTATTCCATTGCCACATGACGCTGAGCACTGAAACAGAACAGGACAGAAGGTAAGATGCATTACAAACGTTTCTCTACACGTCTGATATTTGCTTGATTGTGATTTCATTCCTCTACACCTATTTTTTCCCATCATTACCAAGTTATTTGAGTACAAATTAACTGTAAAAATGAAATCAATGTGTGATATTTTTTTTATATATGAACTATTATTTTTCGGAATTTGAATTGACTATAAAAAGCACAGGAAGCAGAATTTCAATGAATCATGTATTATTGAATTCAATGCAATTCAAACAAAAATGAAGTAGCCTAGATATTTTTGAAAAAATTAGATGCACTGTTATTTTTATCTCTGCAATTGATAACCTCATTTACATTTCAGTCATTTAGCAGACGCTCTTGTCCAGAGCGACTTACAGTTAGTGAGTGCATACATTTTTCATACTGGCCCCCCTTGGGAGTCGAACCCACAACCCTGGCGTTGCAAGCGCCATGCTCTACCAACTGAGCTACAGGAGGCCTAATGATTGGCTCAAACTCAGTAAGAAGGAAAGAAATTCCACAAATTAACTTTTAAGAAGGCACACCTGTTAACCTCAAAGGATCATAAATGGCAATACAAGTGTAACATCTCTCTCTTTAGTTTGAATTATATCTTCTAATCACCTGTTCCAGTGGAACAACTAGTCTAGCCAACTACTTCCTACATTAAAATTGTGCACTTGTTGAAACCAAATATGCAAATTCGGTACTTTTGAACATACATGTGTAGGATCTTAATTTGATCACCCTGCAATGCAGGATTTCTTTTATTTGCTGTGTATGTAAAGGGTTTAAAAAGTATTCTGAAGTTTGTAATTTCCACTTTGAAATTTCAGACTTGTTTTTCCCTTATGAAAAATGTATCAACCCCTACAAAAATCTCCTTTAATTATAATCCACATAATAATTCATATTTCCTGTTGCTGCAGGATTCTTGTCCTGCTCTAGCAAACTGGCTCATATTAAGATGCTACATCTGTAGAGTTTCATTATTAATTTATATGTTCATTACCCTCATTTTAGACCTGTGTGGAATTCTATTTAATTTAATTCAGGAACCACTTGCAGGGACGGTGGCTACGCTACACCCACCTGCCTTACTTTCCACAGCAAAGATGTCAGTCACACACGCTGGTTTAACTTACCGGGGGTTAAACCTCGGTTAGCTAGCATAAGTCTTTAGGTCTTCAATAAGGTTATGTCCCTGCACGAGACTACACTAACAAGCAAACCACTTCGGTTACATGTGCCTGTGAAACTAATGTTTTGAAAGATACAAGTAGAAATGTAGTTAAATGGCATAAATGGTTTGTCATTTTGTTTGTTGACTCACACCAGACCCCTCTGTGGTTTGTATGTAATACAACTTGACTTAGAATTAAATGCTGGCTTCAGGTTGAAGGACACAGCTTATTATTAAGCCTTTGACTGCTATATCACTACAATTTTAATTCAATATCATTCAATACAATTTGCCTCAATATCAACAGCAATACTTCTAAGTAGAGCTAACACGTCATAATCATTGCATAACATGATATTGTATTATTCCAAAAAGTATGGGTCTAGAGCTTTCATTCAAAAGATCTAACCACAGGATTTTGTGTACAAGAAACATTTAAGCTTGAATCAAGGCTGTGTTTGCAGTCTTAAAAAGTGGGGCATTCTGTCAAACAGAGTGTAACTACAGTGAAAACCCTCAAGACGGATGGGGTTCTTTACAGACGTGTGTTCCGGCTCCTCCATGTTAAGAAAGAGCAGATTTCAACCCTCTGTGAAGAGCTCGAGAGAGAGGGAGAGAGGAGAGGGAGTGGGGGAGGGGGGTTCTCTCCACTAGACAGTCAAGCTTGAACCCCTGCCTTGAGGACATTGCATATTTTGAATGTATAATGTTTTGCTGATTTGACACAGTTTATCTTAAGAAATGCAAGAAATGTAAAAAATGTAATCAATTTCATCTACAGCTGCACAAAACAGAAATACATCTGGAGGGAAATATCAACATGTAAGTACAAAGAATGATATTGGTTGGTGGGTACACTCAGAAAAAAAGGCGCTATCTAGAACCAAAAAGGGTTATTCGGCTGTCCCCATAGGATAACCCTTTAAAGAACCCCTTTTAGTTCCAGGTAGAACCCTTTTGGTGCCAGGTAAAACCTTTTAGGTGTCATGTTGAACCCTTTCTACAGAGGGTTCTACATGGAACCCAAAATAGTTCTACCTGGAACCAAAAAGGGTTCTACCTGAAACCAAAACGTGTTCTCCTATGGGGACAGCCGCAGAACCCTTTTGGAACCCTTTTTTAAAAGTGTGTAATGTTCACTACTACCTTGCTTTCCTCACACTTGTGCATGTACAGCAGGCCTATCTAGGTCTTTTAAAAATACTGTATTAGAAACATAAAATGACATTAATAAGGCAAATCTAATAATGTTTATATGTTTAATGTGTATGCTTATTGTCTTCAAAGAGAAAGAGCCACTTTCAATACTGTTAATCCTGATAGTGTTTGTACTTACATTTTAATTGGTTTTGTGAACCAACATTAATGGCTAACTGTGCATTTTCCTAAGGGAGCATTTACGTGCTAAAGGCACATGAAGACCATTATTACACATGCCTTAATAGATTATAAAGTGTCTTAATTGATTATAAAGTGTCTTAATTGATTATAAAGTGCATTTATTGGTGTGTTTTTGAGTGAGTATTTGTGTGTTTGAGTTTGTCTATCTGTTAATGTGTATATTATTGTGTGTGTATGTGTATACATGTTATTACCACCCACTCGACTGTGTATGCTCTTAAAGGTTAGAGGACTGTGTGTGTGTTTGGATCAGTAAACACATCCAGATGTCCATGCCCTCCTGAGGCTCACAGAGCGAGAGGTGAGAAATCACCGTGTTAAATTAGCACATGTTAACCATTAAAAGCCCCAAGAATCCCATCTCTTTATGCTACCGATCCTCTCCATATTTCAACAATTTGTATTAATTTAATTCTCAAAACAAGAAAAACAAAATGTGATGACTGAAAAAGCTGTCATCAGATTTATTTTCTATTAGGTTCACCTGCTTGAAGGAGGAACATTTCCAGTCTGAAATGCCATAATTTTGATAAGATTAGGAGTATTTAAAGGTAGACTCAGCTGAATGACATTGCCACGAGCAGAACCGGAGATATTGAGATGAGCAAGATGCAAGACTTCACTCTCACACAGTCACACACAGTCTGGACAAGTGCACGGGTTCGCTTCACGCTGTTCACAGCGTGGTAGCCAGGGCACCAAAACAGGGGAGAAGTTTAGCCTCGCGCTTCAACGCTCTTAGTTGTTGCGGAAATTGACCCACAAAAGTGTTTACTTTCTGCATCTACATCATATAACTGAGTCTACCTTTAAGACTATATTTCGAATGACTAATGATTTCTTGAATATCATATTTCATAGTCACGTTCAAAATAAAGCTTATTGTTTGTGAAGGTACTACTCACTATGGCTTAAAGGAAAATACCACTCAAAAACAGTCAAAATACAGAAAGTGTCACAGTATGATGCATTTTGTATGCCACTTTCTGTATTTTGAAAGTTCTATATCTTGAAAACTTGATTGCTTACATGCAAAACATTTTGGGACTATCAACAGTGGACTAAGATAGTGTTTGAGTGGTATTTTCCTTTAACAAGTGGGTACATGCGTGAATGCAGGTTGTCAGGTGTTAAAAAGTGGAGTGTTTTATTTCTTTATCTGCCAATTTTGGATGTCATTTTTTGTGTGCATTTTTTACATTTTGTAAAATGGTCCATGGCTACCATAGAGTGTCTGTTAAATGATTATGGTACAGTACATTCAGTGAAATCAGCTGTTACCTGGTTATATTAATACGATTGTTAGGGAGCTGTATGCACTAGAGCTGTCTGAGACAGCCAACAAGTCCTCTGAGGTATTGAGGGCAGATGTGTGTCTCTTCTGGGCCCCTGATCAGTGGAGGGAGAGGAAGAGAAAGAGACAGAGAGGAATAGAGGGGGAAAGAGCACCAGGCTCTCCAGCTGGTGAGGTGCATTTTGGGAATGTGTCTGGCCTGCTGTGGTAAGTGGATTGTCTCGCTGGCCAACCTGGACTCAGGGGTAGACATAACATACTAAACTAAAATCCGGGACACTCAAATTAGTATGATATGTTATGTTTGGTATAGTATGTATTATTTAGTGGATGTCCATCATCCATTTGAAATGATATGTTACGAATTACAATTCGCATGATATGTTACGAATTGCAATTCGTACAATATGTTTTACGAATTTGAAATACGTATGATATGTTACGAATTCCAATTTGTTGTGGCTAACATTAGCTAGGTGGCTAGGTGGTTAACACTAACATATTTTTCTTTGTGTTGAACCCCAGTAAGACTAGCTGTCGCCATTGGCATCGGCTAATGGAGATCCTTATAAAATAAATAAAAGCTAGGTGGCTAATGTTAGCTAGGCTAGGGGTTAGTGTTAGGGTTAGGAGTTAGGTTAGCTAACATGCTAAGTAGTTAGCAAAGTTGTAAGTAGTTGCAAAGTTGTTAATTAACTGAAATGCTAAAGTTGTCCGTGATGAGATTTGAACATGCAACCTTTGGGTTGCTAGACATTCGTGTTATACGTCGACCCAACCACCCCGTCCAACCACACTCCTTTTGTTTTTGCATTAAGTAACCTTCTGTCTTATGTAACCATACCAAACGTAACATCCAGGTCGCAGTTGTAAATGAGAACTTGTTCTCAACTGGCCTACCTGGTTAAATAAAGGTTAAATAAATAAAAATAAAAACATATCATACTAATTTGAGCGTCATGGATTTTTGTTTACTATGTTACTTCTAGTCTATGAGACCAGACTGCTCTGGCTGGGTAGAGGGAGAGGAGCCTCTGACACATGTTTCCAATTGGGGAGGGATAGGATAAGAGGGCGGGCGGGAGGGAGGCAGGGAGCGTGGCGTGGGGAGCTTCATGTTGGCTAAAGTCAACCTCAGCCAGGCCCAGATGAAAGTGGAGGTATGGATATCCCTCCCTCCCACTGCCCCTGATAGTAGCCCATTATGGGATCCTCTCAAACTGCCAGAGGGATGAACCACAACCCAGAAGGCAGACCACAGTTTGATGTGCCACAGAACACGTATTACTGAATAGTCATGCATGGTAGAAAAAAAGCCAACTCAGACAGCTACCTCACAGTGCACCAGTGAATCAGCAAGTTAATGAGCATTAAAAGGAAAAGAATGAGTGCTGAACTGGGAGCGTGATTGGTGGTAGTAGCATGTAGTGTTTATTTCAGGTTTAAAGAGTACCTCTCCCCAGCTCCCTGTCTTCCATTTGGGGCAGCGGCGCCCCCGGCAGCTCCTCTCCTTGCTGGGCTGGGTCAGGTGTTTACAGTTGTCCTCTGGAACAGGTCGACCGGACCGGGTCACACAGCTCGCCTTACGGTTCTTCCATCCTTTACCACAGGCGGCAGAGCACTGCAAGAGGAGGTCAAATTTGAGAAATAGTTAATAGATAGGGGGTGTACAGAGATCAAATACCAGAACAATGTCAAATACTGGATGACTTCAATGAGTATAGTATAGAACCCTTTTATCATTCACTTGAATAGTTTTTCAATCTACTTCTTCTTGAGAACAAGATCACATGTACAGGGCTTCAAAGTACACAACAGGTTAGTGACATTTTCATTAGCAAATACGGTATGTAACATGAGTTGGGACATAAGATCATGTGAATTGGTTTGAGACCAAATAAACATGGATTTGGACATACATTTAGCACTTTGACATCCCATAACTTGAGATATTAATGCACTGCCATTTACACACAAAGCAGTTTCTACAGTACAGCATTTCTAGATTTTAGTGAATGCAAGCTGAGCGTACAGAAATGTGCAACGGAAGCGGAGGCCCCTCAGTTAAACGGATTAAGTCCACAGAAGGTAGAGTTATGAGAGCCAAGCAGCACACAGTCACCAGCCACATTCACATCCAGGTTCATTGAGCTGGCCCAGGTCTAACTCTGTCTGACAGGCAGGCACCCCACACACCAGCACCCCCCAGCACAGTCAGGCGCTCCAGGCCTGTGAGTTCAGTGGGGCTGTTGGGTTGGGGTTGGGTAATCAAAGCGTCTCAGAGTGTGAGGACAGATAGGATGCGACAGGCCCTGGGTTGAACGAGTGCGTAGCCCAGCATGACGCACTGCGCTGCCCAGCGAGGGATCGCGCCGGACAGGAACCCACAACGACCTTTCACCTCATTTAGGAGAGGGAGGGCGGGGCTAAATGTCACCAGAGCCCAGAGGACAACGAATGGCTCAATAAGGAGGAAGTTACTCCCACCCCGGAAATGACTGTAGAGAGGTGAGCGCCTTGTGAATGGATTTGCTTATTATACATTATAGGCATTTCATGTTATATTAACAAATAAAAACAAAAGTACAAAATGAAAAGGAATGACAAATATGATGTTACTAAAATCATTTAATTTAAGGGATTGATAATGTACAGTGAGGAATCACAAATTATTTTAGATGTATAACCACATAGACACCAATTTCACACAATAAACTTGATTGAAAATTACACCTTCCATCGAATGTTAGTTTGTTCTATGATCAAATAAAAAATGAAGCCAAAACACCAACAATGTGTGATTACTTGCTGTATTTTTTGCTCTAATGAATTTCAATACACATAAGGGAGAACATTTAAATGTGAGTACTGTACTGTATGTGTCTTTTTGTGAGGAGCCCCATTACATTTAGGCGATTTGACTTAGTCGCCCAGATGTTCCCCACATGCATACATCTGGGCGAGGCTGTTATTGGGCCAAGCCGTGTGAGAGTCTGACACCAGTTACAGTTGCCCCTCCTTTATAATAACCACTTGAGGCCAGATATCAGTCTGCATGAGAACTTGAGGCTGTGTTTACACAGGCAACACAATTCTAATATTTTGCCCAATTATTGGCAAAACAGCTGATCTGATTGGTCAAAAGACCAATTAATGGAAAAAAGATCAGAATTGGGCTGCCTGTGTAAACACAGCCTCAGAGCATGCAGGACACTTCTACATTTAAGGTGCTGTTATTGTCCATCCATGGTGTTTTAGTTACCATAAGAAATGTGCTACTATTGATTCACCCATTGGCCTATGAGCAGACGTTCCAGTGGTGTTTGGAATTTGGAGTGAGGTAGACACGGAGAGTACACACACAGGCTATGATCATGGTCATGGAGGGCCATTTAGGATAAATAACATTTTACAAAGGTTTAAATCATTGAATAAAAGGCATTTACAATGAGGGGCAGGCAGCCAGACTGCTGCTTTTTAAATGTCAGACCATTCCTCAAAGTTTTATATACTCTTTAAATGAGCTTTCCAGCCATAGTTCTCTGCTCCAATAACTTTCTATTACCTTGGGAATCATTAAAACACTGGGGAAGTAAATCACCTTCCAATTCTCTATATCCACAAATTCTGTGGGTATCCACTAGACATCTTTATTATATGTAGTTAGTTCATGTGTGTGTTCCATGCTGAAATTAACCCTTCAACCTACCAAGTGTCAACCATTTCATAAACTACATTATATTTTAGCATACTCTGAGTGAAATTGATATTTTTATGTCAATGTGTAAACTGGAATCATCACAAAACTACCTGTTATCTATAACACTATTTCCAACTATCACACTACTTTCAACTATCATGCATTCAGACACAATTTTATTGTATCATTCAAATCAGATGCTTTTATTTACAGTGCCAAATAAAACAGTGCCTCTGACAGACCACTACTTGTGCCTAAAATACACCACATTCCGATGCCTGCATTCCGTCCTGGAATTCTAAAGAACCGAGGCAACTGGGCCTTTCGGGCCCCCACAGACAACAGGGCTTTCCCAGCTTTTTTTCCTGGGATCACAGCCCTTTCCCAGAAGTCCATCCATGCTGATTAGATGTACAAGGAAGGGGCCCCTCCCAGATCAAACGTGACCCTTGACCCCCAATGCACTCCTGCATTGTCTTTCTGACAGGCTTTCATTTGAGTCACTGTCACTGGCCCCCCACCATCGGAACAATGTCATCAACCCGCCAGAGGAAAGGGGCAAGGGGGGGACTGAGGGGGCGACGTAGTTGAAGAGAACGTGTCGTCAGGCACACAAAAAAACCATGTCAGCCATTAGGAGTGAATGAGCACAGTAAATGGAGGTCCTTCTAGCCAGTGTCACAGAGAATAAAGATTGATCTTAGTACGAATGGCTTTGAACTCTGGCAGAGACAGAAAAATCATAATTGCTCAAAGAGATCACTGTGGCCCTGACCTCATAAGACAACAGAGATATTGCTCAGTGATTTGTACATTTTCATTTACTGAAAACGGCCCTTTCAAAAAAACAGTTAGAGAGCTCGAGTAATGCTCTCTGCAGAGATAATTTGCAGAGAATTTCCTATCTAATCCATAGGTGATTTGGTTAATTATATAGACCATTTCCACTTCCATGTTCCTACTGTAATTAGTGTAAAGCCAAAACCGTTAATCTAAAGGTAATCTTCTTAATTGAAGCACAGACATGTTGATGAGATTTTTAACAGGACTACAAAGTTGCCTGTGGTATTATAAGTGAATGTGTTCACTTCACTGTTAGTGGTTCTTCATGGCAATTACCTCATTTAATGAAACTCTTTTTTAGAAAACAGTGTTCCAGAGTGTAGATTTATCAGTTTTTCCCCTAAGCACTAGTCCTCCTGTAACTAAGGTAAGCTCAAGAGTGCAGATGTTTTGTTTCTCTTCTCTCATATGACCTACATTTTTCACTTTTGATATCCATACAATACAGTGTTCCTGCACACTAAATAAACTAGCTAGAGGATTGACTAGAAAGGAAATCAGTATAAATTGATGTTTTGGAATTTAATTTGAGCATAAGCACTTGTTCGTGATGGTTCGTGAATCGTGAACATGATCTTTTACGGTAAATAATATACATGAAAGAAACAGTGCCTTTTAATAGTACCTCTACTTCACTTTAATAGTTACCTTTCTGTGAGCGAACATAAATATTGACATGACATTATAATGAAGTAGAAATAAATACAGATAATTACATAAATATGCACAAATGTCCTTGAAACCCAGACTAATACTGCCATATGGAATGAGAGGCATAGAGTACTTTATTTCAAGAGCCTGTTCATATCATCAAACACATTGTAAATGCATCACGCTGTACTGCTAAAATATGCACCCTAAACTCCAACAAGGAGCCAAGCTGTGATTTGTGGCTCTAGATAAAAATAATATAACTGTGTTTTATTCTACACATCAAATGATCGACAATTCCACAGTGCAATGAGACTTAATGCATGTGGAGTTGTTTCAAGTAGGGTAAAAGCTACACACTCTTATTGGATTCGTCATAATCAACCCAACCTTATGCTACCTTGTCATTACTCATATGGAGATTATTAGAAATGATCGTTTTTCTTTAGTGAACAAGGTGTGGTGAGAAATACACTCACTGCCTGCTTGAGAGCTGTGTTAACAGGCCCTTAAAATAAGGTGTGATGTCTGCAACTTATGCACACACATTAATTACCAGGAGGTTACAGTTAGCCTTAGGAATGACTGGGTGGGCTCCAGGCAGAGGTTGCGCCTAACCACAGGTCCAAGATCAGCTTTCACTACCCCGATTCCACTCGTAACTATTAAGAGGTAGAACAAAACACAGACCCTGGATCTGTGGTTAGGGCCAACATCCTTGGATGGGCTTAACATCATGATGAATTTGAATGAGAATGCAGCCCTCCAGCAGAAGACCAAGGTGTGTGGGGGGGTGGTGTTAATAGAGAATGAGGTAGACACATACGACTGGCTCAGAGGATGAGCTCCAGGTATATAGAACACTATAAACTCTCCCTGTGGTCGCAGGTACTGACTGTGTGTTCACAATGCTAGGACAAGGGGCATTCTCTTTCAGCTACAACAGAAACAGGTTTGGTGGTGAATAAATGGAACACACTTCAAAAATTATCTTTACCTTTAAAAAAAATTATAACACATTTTCACCTAACATAACTACATTTTTTTGGACATAATCAATAATCAACATCATGAAAAGAAAAAAATAGGCAAAAAATTGAATATGAAAAACTACTCAAAACACCAGGTGTTTACATACGTACATATCTCTACATCACAATAGACAGTTTGTGACCTTAAGTTATTATTATTTTATTTTTTATGTTTATATCTAATTTCTCCCTTATTTAGCAAAAGCACCATTGTAAGTATCATAAGTTAATGGCTAGTTGAGTTGTGTTTGTTCCAAGTGAGGTATGGTTGAGCATAGCATATTTTCACATGTGTATTGAGCACTGGTGAACACACCAAAATAAACTATTTACAAAGCGAGTATATAGACATATCTAACAAGACATAAATACACTCATATCAAGCACCTTTTGAGCGGTGGGCCTTGAACCTACTGGTTTGGCTGGGTGCTTATGTCTGTGCTAGTAAAAAGGAGGGAATCTGGGTCAGGACTTCAAGCTGTGGTAAAATGACTATTACCTCGAAGAATCACATAATTTATCAAATAACACAGCTATCACTTTATTCTACAGTCCTATTTCAGATGGTGTTTACCTGTTCTTTATTGAGAAACCCTATTGTTTCTTTTAAAGAATTTAGCATAATTGGTAACTACCCGGCACGTACATGACTAAAAAGTAATTATTAGTTCATTACCATGTAATTACCATTTTACAACGTCATTTCTGAGTAAATACTAGTGGACTGTAAAATAAGGCAGAAACATAAGATAATTTGTAACTTCTCTATAATTAATAAAGGGCAATCTGCTATTGCAGACGCTCTTACCCAGAGTGAATTACAGGAGCAATTAGGGTTAAGTGCCTTGCTCAAGGGCACATCGACAGATTTTTCACCTAGTCGGCTCAGGGATTAGACCAAGCGACCTTTCGGTTACTGGCACAACGCTCTTAACCACTAAGCTACCTGCTGCCCCCGGATGTATTGCTACATCCATTTTTGGACTATTAAATATGTAAGCTTGTTTTACTCCTTTGTTGGTAAACAATGTAATTGTAAACAAAACACTGTATTAAAACATGGTTAAAACATGGATGGTCAATCGATGCATCCATAGATATGTCTATGAATTTGACAGTGGTTACATTTCTCCAGCCCCATCCCTCAGCTGTTTACTGAAACAGTGGTGAGGTGTGGCTTTGTTATTGTTTGAACTGCAGATTGCCCCATTAAGACCAATTGAATTCTTACAGTTATGATGGTCAATATAGCTTTAGCATCAGAATGATATATATATATTTCTAGAGTACCCAAACATTATTTATAGTCCCAATGTGGTTGGTGCATTCACTTGGACTCTTTCCAGGTCATTTTCTTTGCCACGTGTAAAAAAAACTATGAATAGCACCAACACTCGAGTATACTGTATGTCCATTCTTTGGGTGTTAAAAAAAACAAAAACAAGGCATCTTAAATTCCTGATATACAGAAACATTCATCAATATTTGCATATGAACAATGATTGACTGTGTGCGAATACAAAGAGGTATGACAGAAACTTTGGAGGTTAATGCTACTGTATATACAAAGGAAACCAAGAAGAAAATCTCTTAAGTAATAAATTATCTTTTAAAACAATATCTTACAAACTAGCTTTGATTCTGAAATACCAACTGATCCTGAATTTTGAACACTGACTAAGACTGACAACAGAGAAAGTGTTCTTATGGTCACAGCTGTCAATGAAGCATTTCATATGTTGTACTTTTTGGTGTGTTGTGTGTATTGTGTGTTTATCTTTTCTCTTAAGTGCAACATAAATCAATTCCCAACTGTCTCTAGAAGGATGACCAGTCTCAGGCACCAAGGGAAAGGGTAAAGGTGAGGTGGAGGTGAAAAGTTTCCAGCATGTACGCTCTACAGAACCATCCTGCTCCCTCAAGTTTAATTATTTGTTTGTTTGGCTTTGTCATGCTACACAGTTTAGTGGTGAAACTCTGTGTGTGGTGAAATGAGAGGACTGTTAAAAAAAGAGGGGGAAGAAAACAAAAGGCATATATTTACGAGCGTACCGAGCTCCATGGGTCTGTGCTCCAGTGGGGGTTAGACGGGCACGACTGAGTATTGCACTGCTCACGGTCGGGCGGTTTGTCAAGAATCTCACAGCTCAGATCGTTAAAGCGCTCTCCGTTGGGCCTCTGACACGCCACCAGCCGCGTCTTTATTCCTCCCCCACACGGCTTGGTGCACTGCAGGACAGAGCAGAGGAAAGAAGGAGTGTGTAGACAAAGTCAGGACAGTTGATTCCCGCCAATGTTTATGCAACGTACAGTATGTCATCAAAGTGCAACTAAACCCTGCAGTGTATCAGTGCTGTAGGGCGGCTTGTGTTCTCTCACCTCTCCCCAGTTCCCATAGACCCACTGTGGACAGGGTCCGGACTCACAGGAGCGCTGCTCGATGGGTTCGGAGCGCTCCTCACAGTTGCTGACAGCATAACCATTCTCATCCTGGCACACCACCACGCGCCTCTGGAAGCCGCCTGCACATGTGCTCGAGCACTGACGTCACAGGGAGGAGAACACCATTTGAGACAGATGGTTCACACACTCTCACATGTACAGGTATGTATGCACTAACTCAGAGACACGCAAGTAGACATTCAAACACTAATACATGTACCATGCACACAATGACAAAAACATGCAAATGTTCAAACTCATCCATGCAAATGTATAGTGCTCATCTATGCACACAAGAATCATTTACCAAGAAACACACTGTCACATACTGTAGACTTTTGCATATACACACACCAGCTACAATGAAACAAGTGCACACACAAACACCAACACACAATTTAAAAATACAAACGATAACAAACCAACATATGGCACCCATTGACAGACAAGTATACAAAAGCACACATACATCACTCTGGCAAGGGTCAGATTGACCTCAGAGACTATGTGCTTTAGGAAACTGGATGGATAATGCACTGCTATATTAAAACACATCCTCAGGAAAAGGAAGGAAGAGATCCCGAAAATAGCCCTTGCTATTTCCCATGATCCTTTAAATAACAACAGCTATTTGGGGACACAGATTGTTGTGCAACTAACTGTAATAACCCAGTTTTGAATAACAGCTGTACAATAGGCTACTAACTGCCAAAACCATCAGCAAAAACAAATTGACTTCTTGGGTCACGATACATGACGTTGTTACATCACAGACAGACAGCCTCATAAATGTCAACATCAACACAAGACTGAGATAGTGCTCAGCTGTGCTGCCTTCCAATTTATACGATTGAAATGGAAGACGATATAGGTTGTATGCATTCATTTAATGTTAAGGAACCTAGGACTGCAAGATGCTTGTAAATGGTGTATAAGAAACTCACCGCTCCCCAGGGTCCCGTTCTCCATTGGTGGGCCTGGGCTCGCCCTCCACTGCGCCCGTCGGCAGCTGTGGGCAGGTTGTTGCGGGGGCCGCCGCTGGGTGAGGGGAGGGGCCGAGGGTCACTGGAGCGGGCAGCAGGGCACTGGGACATGGCACACTCCTGCTCTGTGGCCGGACGGTCATCAGCGTCACACTCCACTACGTCCACTATCTGATCACTGAAGTTCACACACACCACCTGGCGTGTGGTCTTCCCCTGCCCGCAGGATACAGAGCACTGCGCACACACGCACACACAGGCACACACACAGAGTAAGAAACACAGCATACAAACACAAACAAAACTTGCTGTAGCAGCTTAGGTCAGTGTCTTGTCTCTTTAAACATGGCTGACCCAAACATATCTTCCTTAAGGAAAATGAAACAGAGTAGAGCTTCTGCCAAAGACTCATGCTGCTCCAATTAGGTCTGGCCAAGTGGAGTAAACTGGACTGTATCTGTGTTGCATAAGACCTGGCATTATGCAACAACTGTCCACTCTACAGTACTGTACTGTGCTACTGAGCCAGGGATTACACTGCCCAAGGGTTTACTGACTAGGACTCAACAATGCTGCCTATTTCAAATAGGTGTGGATATTGCACAAGCATCTCCCAATCCGAAAAATAGTGTAGTTACTGTACTTTAACAGGCCCTGTATAGGCCTATGCACAAGCTAAAACTACAACACTGAGGCTGCTTTTACAGTTGGATCTCATAATAACAGTCATTAAACTTAAAGAACTAACTGGGACATCCGCCATACTCTAGCTATCACTCCATCAGGGTTCATTTCCGGTTCCATTCCATATCAAGAGTGTGCAAAGTGAACGTTTAGAGTCAGATCGGTCTCTCTCTGTGGTTCTGTTTGCTGTGGCCTTGGGCTGAGCTGCTTCCTGCCTGCCTGGAGCCCACTGAGTTGCTCTGGAATAAATAAGCAGTCAGAGAGACCCTCCCTCCCACAGCCTGTATCTAGCTATCTGTGTGTGTGTGTGTCTATGTGTGTGTGAATGTTTGTATGTGTGCATGCGTGCGTGTGTGTGTGTGTTTGTGCGTGCATGTGTCTTCAGTATGTGTGTGTGCGTGTGTGTGTGCGCGTGTGCATGGTGGCCATAACTGCAGCATGGTGGGAGTATGACTAGTGGTCTCTGTCTGATGAGAAACATCTGTAAACAAGGATCCTAGCCCCTCTCTTCAGCCCCTTGTTCCTCACGCCTCCCTCCATCCCCTTGCCAACCCTCCAAACACACCAAAGCCTGTTTCATCTCCTCCTCCCCTTGGAACAGAGAAACACACAATCACACAAAGTGATTATGAACAGTGGTCTGAAAGGCTCAAACCTCAGCTAAACAAACCTCAGATATTATAATCCACTGAGCTGGCTAGAGATTTCATTGTGAAATACAACTTAATGAACAGTGCCGACAGAGCGTATAATGGTAGTCAGATTTCCCTTTAGAAGAACTGTTCACAATGGAATTGTTAACAAACGTTAAAGGCCCAGTGCAGTCAAAAACTTGATTTTCCTGTGTTTTATATATATTTCTACACTATGAGGTTGGAATGATTAGTTAATAGACCAATAAGAACGAGAGTTCCAAACCTCTCTGCCAATAACAGCTAGTTTTCAGTTTTCCCCTCCCCACTTACACTACATTACCAAAAGTATGTGGACACGTGCTTGTCGAACATCTCATTCCAAAATCAAGGGCATTATTATGAAGGTGTTCGATGGGGTTGAGGTCAGGGATCTGTGCAGGCCAGTCAAGTTCTTCCACACCGATATCGACAAACCATTTATGTATGGACCTTGCTTTGGGCATGGGGGCATTGTCATGCTGAAACAGGAAAGGTCCTTCCCCAAACTGTTGACATAAAGTTGGAAGAATGTCATTGTGTGCTGTAGCGTTAAGATTTCCCTTCACCAGAACTAAGGGGCCTAGCCGGAACCATGAAAAACAGCCCCAAATCATTATTCCTTCTCCACCAAACTTTATAGTTGGTAGGTAGTGTTCTCCTGGCATCCGCCAAACCCAGATTCGTCCGTCAGACTGCCAGATGGTGAAGTGTGATTCATCACTCCAGAGAACACGTTTCCACTGCTCCACAGTCCAATGGCGGCAAGCTTTACACCACTCCAGCCGATGCTTGGCATTGCGCATGGTGATCTTAGGCTTGTGTGCGGCTGCTCGGCCATGGAAACCCATTTCATGAAGCTCCCGACAAACAGTTATTGTGCTGACATTGCTTCCAGAGACAGTTTGGAACTCGGTAGTGAGTGTTGCAACCGAGGACAGATGATTTTTACGCAGTACGTGCTTCAGCACTCGGCGGTCCCGTTCTGTGAGCTTGTGTGGCCTATCACTTTGCGGCTGAGCCGTTGTTGCTCCTAGACGTTTCCACTTCACAATAACAGCACTTACAGTTGACCGGGGCAGCTCTAGCAGGGCTGAAATTTGACTAACTGACTTGTCGGAAAGGATTGCATGGCCGTGTGCTCGAATGAGTGAAATATCCGAATCCACTAATTTGAAGGGGTGTCCAAATACTTTTGTATATAAAGTGTAGACCACTCCCATACAGTCCTAGCAGAATTCTTGCTTGAGAAATTGCTCTTTGCTAAGAAGCAATTCTTGTTTCTTTTTGACCATTTTAATCACAGTAAGGTACCGTAATTTTCGGACTATAAGCCGCGCCTTTTTTCCCATTTTTCGACCCTGCGGCTTATATAACGGTGCGGCTAATCTATGGATTTTTACAGCTAACGGCCACTAGAAGACCTCCTAAATCTATGGATTTGACAGGTTACAGTCCACCAACTTTAACTCTATGGGCTCTATGACCGGTCCGTGCCCCCCACCTTTAAGCGACGGGCTCCAGCAGGAAAAGCTGGAGGCTGGAAAAGAGTGAGACAGGTAGCGCGCAAAAGTAAAAGTGGAACCGAGAGTGGTACGAGAGACAGAACGAGAGACAGAACGAGAGCAAGACAGACAGACATTACGAGAGCGAGACAGTTTGTCTCTTTCCCGACAATCCCCTCTGTGCACGAACCCTTACATATGGTAATTAAACATTAAAACACCTGCGGCTTATAGTCCAGTGCGGCTTATATATGTACACATCATTCAATTTAGCTGCTGCGGCTTATACTCCGGTGCGCCTTATAGTGCGGAAAATACGGTACTTAATTGTTACCCAGATATTGATATTGATATAAAAACAGCTGCATTGGAACTTTAAAGACATTAGCAATGGATATAATGGATATGTGGACATAATATCCTTACCCACAAGACCCTGTAGTAATGTAAAATATTTTAAGTGTAAATGGTAAATGCATTAAACATTGGTGGTTGATTGAACGAAAGTAGTTACTTACAGATGTCCATTCCAGGACCTTCCACTGTCCGCAGGCCACTACAGAGCACACCTCCCTGGCTGGGGGCTTGGCCAGGTGGGAGCAGGCAGAATCCTCCGCAACCCCACCCTGGTTGTCACGGCAACTGACATAGCGCATCCGGGTCCCTTTGCCGCAGGTGGCGCTACACTGTGGTGGAGATGGAGGCAATCAGTACAGTTACAGTACAATACAGTACAACACACACAGTATGTAATTGCTGCATTGAGTGGTGGAGTAAGTAACCGATAGAACCAACCTGTGTCCAGGAGCCGAACCTCCACTGGGTTTTGTGTGGGAGGTGGGAGGGCACTTTGGTCCCCGGGGGAACCGGGTGGCTGACGGGACACTGGGCAAGTTCACAGTCCTACAGACACAAACATACACATCCATTAAACCAATTACAGTGACAGAAACACAGCATACAATACTGTCATCTACTTACTGTACATCTCTGACAGAAGTGTCCCCATCATCAGACTCATCAGACTAAAAGTAACAGTGTTACTCTGACGGATCCCAGAAATAGACAGCGTTAAGCCCCTCCACATAAGGCCAACCATCTGAATAACCTGATGCCTGTCATAACGGGACACAGTGGAGAGGTATCCCAGTCTCCAATGCCAACACTGGCGTGTTACTGGGCTCCTCCTTCTTCCGCCGTGCTCTCCTCCCCAGAGCCCTCTCATGACCTTTGACCCCCTAGTTCTGGGTTGAGCAGAGAGGTGAGCAGAGAGGGGTCTAACTCAGGTATAGCTGTGTTATAGAGGGCTCCACGTTCCACACTCATCCTCTGAGTGGAAACAAAGCGGACACTGGCAGCCAGGCAGGCTGGAGAACACAGCCTCCACGTAAAACATGGTGGTGGTGGGAATAATAAGAGAAAGAATGAAGGAGGCAACCAAGACCTGTCTTTGACTCTGTGGGTGTGTGTTGATGTATGTGGGTCTTTATATAAATAAAAGGGGCCAATGTGTGACATCAGGGTCAACATTTCTAAATGGTTTAATATACATTTAAATATGATTTTCTTGCAGCTTCACATGTGTAGTTACAGGAATAAAAGTCTAGATAGGCACAATGAGACCATAACTCCACCTAGAAACAACAAAACATCTACATGTCATTCAAAATGTCACAAGAAACATGGACACCTCATGTTTCTTTGTCATGCCTAGTTGCCAGGTCTTTTTGTGCATTGGTCAAATTCTCTATCATTTAAAGCCATGCTAAACATTACTGAAGATTGAAAAAGATAAACAACAGCATTTCTATATGTTTTAATAGTTGATATAATAATATAATATAATGAAATAATAATAATACAATGGGTTCTGTCAACAAAATCATTGACAATAATAATAACCAATAATGAAATCATTATAATCAGTAAACTCTTCAAGCATTGTGTGTGTGAGTCTGTGTCTAAAAACTAGCAGTCAAATTCTTTCTTCCTCTGTCCTTGTTTCCTCCACTCCTTGCCTCTCCTTGAAAGTGCATTGCAGCCTGAGGGGAGGAACCTTAACTCCTCTCCCCCAATGTGCTTTGAGAGGGAGGTGAGGAATGGGGGAAAGGGGAGAATCGCAATTACATTTCCTTGAGTTAAAGGTTCCTTCCCTCAGACTGGAATGCACTTTCAAGGAGAGGCAAGAAGTGGAGGAAACAGGTCCTCAACTGGCAGCTTCATTAAATAGTACCCGCAAAACACTAGTCTCAACGTCAACGGCTCTGTCGTAGCCGGCCGCAACCGGGAGACCCATGGGGCCAGTGGCCCAGCGTCGTCCAGGGTAGGGGAGGGAATGGCCGGCAGGGATGTAGCTCAGTTGGTAGAGCATGGCGTTTGCAACGCCTGGGTTGTGGGTTCGATTCTCACGGGGGGCCAGTATGAAAAAATATATAATAAAAAATAATGTATGCACTCACTAACTGTAAGTTGCTCTGGATAAGAGCGTCTGCTAAATGATGTAAATGTAAAATGTAAGAGGCGACTCCGGGATGCTGACCTAGGCAGAGTTGCAAAGAAAAAGCCATTTCTCAGACTGGCCAATAAAAATAAAAGATTAAGATGGGCAAAAGAACACAGACACAGGACTTTTTCTTTGCAACTCTGCCTAGGTCAGCATCCTGGAGTTGCCTCTTCACTGTTGACGTTGAGACTGGTGTTTTGCGGGTTCTATTTAATTAAGCTGCCAGTTGAGGACCTGTGAGGCGTCTGTTTCTCAAACTAGACATTCTAATGTATTTGTCCTCTTGCTCAGTTGTGCACCGGGGCCTCCCACTCCTCTTTCTATTCTGGTTAGAGCCAGTTTGCGCTGTTCTGTGAAGGGAGTAGTACACAGCGTTGTACGAGATCTTCAGTTTCTTGGCAATTTCTCGCATGGAATAGCCTTCATTTCTCAGAACAAGAATAGACTGACGAGTTTCAGAAGAAAGTTATTTGTTTCTGGCCATTTTGAGCATGTAATCGAACCCACAATTGCTGATGCTCCAGATACTCAACTAGTCTCAAGAAGGCCAGTTTTATTGCTTCTTTAATCAGCACAACAGTTTTCAGCAGTGCTAACATAATTGCAAAAGGGTTTTCTAATGATCAATTAGCCTTTTAAAATGATAAACTTGGATTAGCAAACACAACGTGCCATTGGAACACAGGACTGATAGTTGCTGATAATGGGCCTCTGTACGCCTATGTAGATATTCCATAAAAAATCAGCCGTTTCCAGCTACAATAGCCATTTACAACATTAACAATGTCTACACTGTATTTCTGATCAATTTGATGTTATTTTAATGGACAAAAAAAATTGCTTTTCTTTCGAAAACGGTAGTGTATATATTACTAACATGTTGTAGCTTTTGGGGGAGAAATGTTTTTCCTTCACAAAAGTAGTGCACTGGGACTTTACTAGTCCTATATTAGCAGACAGATGTAGCTGTCTGTAGTGCAGGCAATTATTATTTTATTTCTTACATAATTTTTTTTCACAAAAGTAGTGCACTGGACCTTTACTAGTCCTTTATTAGCGGACCAATATAGCCTTCTGTAGCACGGGCAAAACAGTTAGAAGGGTGAAGTCCTACTTTGAAAGGACAGGAAGTATTGGCTGTGCACTTAACCAATGACAGGCATTCCATACTTAACCCCATCCACATGCGAACATCGAAATATCAAATACTTTTTGGGGTTTCATATGCAAAAATGAAAAACAAGCCGTTTTTTATTTCCCGATTGCGCCATTTTAACTCGGAAAACAAACGATCAAATAGTGGCGTGTATTCATGGCTGCCAAGGGAAGCCAGGCTTCCCCAAAAAATGTACCAAGAAAAAAAGAAACAAAATAATTTCATCTCTGTGTTTCCAAAATGTACTTCAATTTGCAAGAGGCTGAATGTATCTCACCGGAGAAAGCATCCAAGTGAACAAAACAGTGCCCCTCTTTCACAGTACGTGTAACCCATCTATCTAAGGTAAGCCAGTGAGCATTTGGCCTCCCTTGAAATGTTGTTAAAATAAATAATAGCCAATCAGCGTTGCGCTAAACTGAATGAGTTCAGCTGTGAATGGCCCTGGCACACCAAAGAAAAAATGTCAAGGGAAGCCAGTTTGGATTTGGTTTCACACCAATCATATCATAAGCCAAACGTCATTGAATTGTTGCATCTCATTGTGTTATTGTCCTCCGGTGGCTAGCTAGCTTGCTAAAATCGTCCCGTTCCTAAATTAGCCATGGATGGAGATAGGGCTTTGGACTTAATACTTTTTAATACGTTTTACTTAATTCTCTGTACTGGCCAATGATTATAACAGTGATTGTGATCCAACCATAAATTAATACATTGTGCGCATGGCCTAAGAGGATAGAAGTTCAACATGTAGCTAGATGTAGTAGGCTAATGTTAACTAGCTGGCCTGGCGCAAGTTAGGCTAGTGAGCAAGCATTTTAGCCAGGTAGCCTAGGACAACAAAAACTTAAAGCGTGTACTGTATGACAGACTCATAGACATTTTGGGTAACTTGAAAGAGGAGGATGGCATTGGCGTTTGTCTACAAGAGTGAGTTAACATGTTTTTTCTACTTGCAAGCATGCACGCACGCACGCACACAAACACACACACACACAGAAATCAGTACCATGTAAAGCCACATAATATTTAGCTTGCGTTTATTGGACTAAATCGTTTTTGGTATCTTTTAGTTGTCACTGTATTAAACTAAGCATAGGAGATTAGATCATGTTGAAATGTTAAAGATGAAATGGTGCTGGATTAGTGGAGGCAGCGCCTGTTTTCTTTGCGACTTGTGGTAACTCTCCGAGGTTCTAAATCAATAGTTGTTTAGTGGTCCGAAAATGTCGGGAACATTAACTTGCTTGACCATGCTGTATGCAATATGCTTTGTAAACTCCACCGGACAGATGTTGCTCTCTGGTTTTGTGATGAAACAAAGGTGTGGTTGAATTTATTCAGCCACTGCCTTCTTATTGTTTCGGCCTTAGGCCTTTATATCACGGTGTCAAGGCATGTGTTTATAGAGCAAACAACGCAACTATCACAAAACATAGGTTGTAATATGGCTTATATTTGGTTGGGCTTGGGTTCACCGGTGATTTTACACACACACTGCTACTGCGATCAAAAAGTACACGGACCGTACGTAATCTTACCTCAGGAATCTTGACATAATGTTGTCCACGACATAGGCTAATTAACTTGACCGCCACAACAATATAGACACCAAAATGTTCTGTCAATTCTCCAGATCAACATTAATTGTTCAATCACATGCTGTATCACACCAGCTTTTAATCACTTCACAATCCTTTCCTGAATCAGCTGATGTTGCACGATAATTTCCCCACTTAACTAAACAGCTAAACATAAAATGCTCATCAAACAACTATAATTATTGAAGAACCCCGTTAATGACAGTATCGATTTTTGTTTTATTAATCTTGTTAAAGTTGCTCTTTCTGTTAGAAGCATTCAATTTTGCAATCCATTCATTATTTTGGATATGTGTGCCTATGAAAACTGTTTTCACACCATAACATAGGGAAATACGAAATGTTACGAGGTTACAGTGCACTTCTGAGATCTCCATACAAAAAAGAGCCTATATCCAGAAATGTTACAGGATCAATTTCGATGTGTAATTCAATTGTTAAATTCTTAGTATATGATATAATGACAAACAGCAGTATCATAAATGTAAGGAAAGAATGGTAATATTTTATGTCACGAGATTTTTGCCAAATCTGTGAAGAGTTTAAACAAAGGTTTTCATTCGACTTGTGAATTATATTGAATGTATCTATGTTCCCCCTTTATATCTTAATGTATTCACATTAAAAAGAGGCAAATTATTATTAATGACTTTGCAACAGCTCCAAACAGTTGTCCACGACAAGAAATGCTCACTGGTACCCTAGTTTATAGAAAGACCCATGTTGTGTTCCCGTCTGTGGGTAGGTGTGTAGGAGGCAAGTGTTCAGTCATCGTTGTGTATTTTTTGGTTTTCTCTCCTCCTACTCACTGGTCAACTGAGGTAGAGACAGGCGTCCTGAAACATAAGCTCCATTCTGTCTTCTTTCCCCCTTTTCCAGCCCCGGAGTGGTTTAGGGTGGGCGGCCTCAGAGCCGACTTCACGGATGACTGGCTGGAATCACAGGGAGATGAAGTGACTGGTTCAGGGTCACTGGGCCTGATGGCTGAGTCGGGAATTAAGGCCTGGACCAGGGGGGCCTCCCTGTGACCGGAGTCTCAGCCTGTGTTTATGGCTCACCCCTCCACACCCAACCCCTCCACACCCCACTCAACCACGACCCGCTCGCCATGCCCCGGAAAAACGGTCCATCCTGCCTTCCCACTATTAGCATGAAGAAGAAAGAAGCAAGCCCTAATAAACTAAACTGATGCATGGAGAGGTTCATAAAAGTAGAGGCTAGTGAAATGTGGGCAAATTAGTCCAGAACTGTTTGTGTTCACTGTCTATGTCTTGGTCATGACACTTCAACAGAGCAGGAATTGTCTTACTGAAGAGGTTTTAAAGATAGGTTCACATAAAGTGGGGAGAACCAGCCTATGAAACTCCAATACAAGACTGTTAACAGACAGACATTAAGGTGGGAAACTAGACTATTATACTATACTACAATACTTTTTTACAGACAAATGATACCCATAGCAGACTGTAGGTGTGACTTACATAACCAAGGTGAGGACATTTTCCACAAATAATCCAGGAATGTTTTCCCCCGTCACCAGCCCTGCCCCGTGGCCTACTGTTACCGCAAAATCTTTCTGTTTCTGGGGTTAGAGCCAGCTCCCCCTCGATCACCCACCCCCAGACCCCCTCCTGCTCCTTGACAGGAGCTGTTGTGCGTACCTGCCATGGACAGGCCCTCTTTCCTGCTCCCTCATGCTTGGTAAGGGGACGGACTGCTGGAGGGAGACAATCCCAGCTATGTGTCTCCGTCTGGGGGTAAGAGCGGCCCAGCACAGCCCCCCTCCAACCCCCCTCTAGACAAGAAGGCCTTATTGAGTCCAGGTTGTAATGGACTGGGTGTGGGACTTCCTTCCTACCTCACAGTGTGCCATTGACTGTACCTGTGTCTCAGCCTGCATGGGGAACCCCCCTTTCCTCACTATAGTATTAAACAACATTCTACAACTTGAGGAGATAGGGCAAGTCACATGGTCAGCTCACAACCAAGCATTCAAGTGTCAGGAGCAGGTTAGGGTCTTGTGTGTTCTACTGAGTCTGACAGTCAAGCCCTGGGTGGCCTAATATTGAGAAAATTGCATGTAGGCCTCCCTAGAAGTTATATTCTCACAAATATCACTTGAAAACTGAGTAGTATCCAAGGGCAGTATATAAAAGCATTTTCACAAAATGTGAAGGCATCCACTACATTGCTTTCACTTATCCCATGTCAATTGTCCAGATCAGTGCAGAGGAGATGAGGGGAAGTTATAGAGATGTTGAGATGGGTCTTAGTGGACTGTGTCCTTACCTGAGTGTCAGTGGGCCGCGTGGCAGCGTTACATTCAGTGTCATCCATGACGGATCCGTATGACCCCACAACGCACTTCACGGCTCGCATCTGGTAGCCGGGTCCACACGAGGTAGTGCACTGAGTTCACCAAAGAGAGAGTAAGAGAAAAGAGGGATATAAAGAAAGAGAGTGATGGAGAGAAAGATAGAGAGAAAGAGAGGGAGAGAGAGATAGTCAGAGAGGGACAAAAACAAGCCAACATAGCAAATCTTCCCAAAAATGAGTAACTAAAAGGAAAAGAAGGGCTCTCCCTGACTAGCATGGTCAGACTAGTGCCAGCAGATAACAGCCTTGAGGATCATAATGCATGAGTAATTAATCTACTTTCTACTTCTTTTTTTCCACTGTAGCCAAGTCAGTGGGTACACACCACACTCTCTTCTACCTCACTGACTCCAATGAAACGAGGTCAAACTTGTGTGACAGCAACTTCAGCTAAGATTCCACGCGCTTCATTAAACGGCTTCAAATATACATTTAGCATGATTGCGTATTCCATGGTATAGGAACACCATCTCTGTCACACGTTTAGGCTTATAGGCAGTTTGCACACACAAGCTGTGTTAAGATGAAGTGCCCAGTTTTGATTTGCAAAACGTTGCGATACCTTTTAAAGTCTATAGCCTAAGAATTGCTACAGAGAAGGTTTTTTTTCCGTTCTGAGAGATATAAACTGGTGATGCATTAGCAAGCATAAGCATAGGGGAGTATGTCTACACAGATTGTGTACAGATTGTGTATGCTTATTTTGGCATGGTCAGCAATGTGCCTAAACAGCAGAGTAAATGGGGGATAGACTAAATGAGTGGCTTAGCTTATCTTTCTCCTGTCATTGTTCTACATCTGGAGCAGTGGAGGCTGCTGAGGGGAGGACGGCTCATAATAATGGCTGGAACGGAGCGAATGGAATGGCATCAAATACATGGAAACCATGTGTTTGATGTACTGTATTTGATACCATTCCACTGATTCTGCTCCAGCCATTACCACAAGCCTGTCCTCCCCATTTAAGGTGCCACCAACCTCCTGTGATCTAGAGAAAGTTCATATGAGATAATTTTTTTAAATCACATTAGCCTCTGTATAGCCTCATGGACAGAGTTCCACATAGCTAAAACTCTGAAGCAAAATGGGTTTATTATGATAGATTGTATAAATAGCTGCTTCATTGGGTCATATTCTAATATTAGAAACCTTTGGACACAGTTGGAATGACACATAATATGTTCACATAATCGTTAGCTGTTACAAGACACAACACTATTGTCTTTGAGGAACAGGGGGTGACTGTAAGCCACAGATGTCACCTGGAACATAGTGTGTGCCACTTGGCAAACAGATCATAATATTACCTGTCACAAAGCCATGTCACCACTCTCATAAACATGTCACTGTACTGTATGTCAACTTTCCAACAGGCGTGACTCACCTGTCCCCAAGGTCCGACCTGCCACGAAGCACAATCCTGCTGCTGACACGTCTGGACTGACTCAGGCTTGGACATAGAGTCACAGAAGCGGTCGTCCAGTCGGTCCTCCGCAAACTGGCACCATGTCTGCCGATGCTTGTACCCTTTCCCACACGTCACCAGGCACTGCAACAACAGTCATCGGGCACAATGAGAAACAGGGGCACATAGATTGACATGTACAGTAGGCTAGCTATGTGTGTACAGTATGTGTTTGTTTGTGTAGGCGCACTCAAAGCCTTTTGAGCTGCTTGGACAGAATGTGTAAACTATACAATAAAGCTAGTTATTACCCCACAAACACTGGTACAGTTATGCACCGTACATGACAAGACATACCAAGGACACTTATTATCAACATTAGGATTTCCTTTGACCCACTTCACTGGCGCTCAGTCATTTTTACATTTTTAATACTTCCTCTTTATATCAGGAGTAGAATTCCTTAGTCAAAAAAATTAAAGATTATTCCCATAATTCTGTCCTGCAAATGTTATTTTTACACTACGTCAGCTGTCAGGTGTAGAATCAGAACCCTGATTTGGCTGCAAACTGGTCGTAGTGTAAAAAGGCCATCTGGGTTCAAAATTCTAACATTTCAAAATTCCTCAATTAACTTCAAATGATAAGTAACATTCCCAAAGCGTAGTCCAAACATTCTCCATATAACTGACCTCAGACCAGTCTCCGGTCTTCCACATGGGACATAGGAACTCATTGCAGTTCTGGACGGTGGTCAGCTTGTCTCTCTGACTGCACTTGCTCTCATCACTTCCCGCCTCAGAAGACTTTCCACACACAGCCGCACGACGCCGGGACCCTCCGCCACAGCTTTTGGAACACTGCAACACCCGCACACACATATTAAGCCTTTTCCTTCTCTTTTTCTAAACCCCCCAAAACCATGACAGGCGGTCTCACCTCTGACCAAGATGAGTACTCCCATCCGCCTGGGTTGCAGTCTCCTTGGCAACTCTCCTTGTCTTCAGGTTTGCGTTGACTGCTGCAGTAACGCTCGTCCACCTTCTGGGTCTTTCCATCGGCACGGCTGAGTTTGGCGCAGTAGATCTCCAGCGTACGATATCCCACTCCACATGGGACTGTACACTCGCTCTTCCTCGCCACATGCCACCTACACAGACAGGAAAGGTCAAAGGTGAAAGACGCTGACAGGATAAAACTGAACTTTGTATCAAACAAATTAAAATAAAATAAAATACAATAACATTTTATTTGTCACATGCGCCGAATACAAGTAAGGTGTAGACCTTACCGTGAAATGCTTACTTACAAACCCTTAACCAATAATTCAGCATACATATCAGAGATATAAAGAAAAATAATCTGCGACACAGACAGGTAAAGCGATTGAGAGTGGTTTAGGTAGTACCTGATTTCACACTCTGCGTTGCAGGGTTCTGTGACCATGGCTGGTCTGGCGACCCCATGGCACCTCTGGTCTGAGACCACCACACGGTCTGACTCTCTACTACACAGGATCTTCCTCTTACGCTCTCCTGATGGGGTGGGAGAGAGGGTTTAGTTCCTTGGTCATGGTCCTGCTGCTTTTAGTTCCTCCAAGTCACTGGCATTGAATTGATCAATTGATTGGCTAGAAAGTTCATGCAAGCTTGTATTCCTTGGGAGTCTAAATCAGCAGGAGTGTGTGCCTCCAGGAATCGCGTTTGATGTCCCCATTGTTTAAATCATAGCAAAATCAGTTTTTTTCAAAAAGCGTTCTAAGAAACATCACTCTTCCATCTATACCTTCTGTTCTCAATTTTTATAACCAAGCATTATAAGCTGTAAATCAGTAAAACTGGCAGTAAATCCACATAGATAAATAGAAATGTATTAGTGAAGAAAGACACTACAGGCTCTATTGTCAGCCAGGTGTCAAACGTTAGGTTCCGCAAATTTACCTGTCTAACATCAGCTTACTTGCCCTGAGGTGGGAAGGGTGGGAATATTTGAGGTGTGTCCTTAAAACTAGCGCAAAAGTGACCATTTCATTCAGCGCAAATAGGGAGATTTAAGACTCACCAAAAGCAGGTCTTAGCGGTAACACGGTTGATTATGTCATGGATTTTGACAGCGGAAGCCAGCCTATCCAGCCGTGACGCACAGTGCCCATATGCTCATGGAACAAGAGATATGTGCTTTTTGTGCCTGTGAACCTTGTATTTAGAAACATGAAAAAACAATGTTTTTTCCATTTTGTTTAATTTAATTAGAAACCAAGCATAGCCTTGGGTCTGTTTATTTCTTCTCCTGCCATATCCATTCGCCAAGTAACCAAGACTATCATTAAAGGGTTTGGCTCATGAGACAGCTTTTTAATAAATCTTTATCACCAAAGTGTTATTAAAAGATCAAGTTGGGAGCAGTAAAACAGTAAGCGGACATCCCCTTTTAATCTATGTATTGTAGGCAACTTTATTTTAGCCAGCTCTTAGAATGAGAGATGATGCCAGTGACCCTCGTATTTAGAAACATTTAAGTTATTTTCCTGTAACAATTGCTTGTTTTTCGTTTCATTAGATTAAAAACCAAGTCCTCAGTAGGCTACCCTTACACTACTATAATGAAAGGTGGTTCAGCAGCAATAAGTCAGGTATCTTTCTTATCCTGGCCATGCGTAAGCCAAGTAGCCCATCCATAAAAGGTTTCTAAGCGAGGCTTTTGCCGTTTTGCTTTTGCATTATTTACAATTAACATAGTCCTACCTGCATATTCAATTTCGCTGATATCATCCCCATTTCCAGAGTGCCTGTTGTCCGGTTACCAAAAACACAGTCCTCCTTTCTTATTCAAATTATTCAGTCCTATAATGCCATATCAATGATGGATAGGCCTATATTTTGCTTATTGCAAATGTGCCTCACACATAGCCTACAAACATTTTAAAGGGAGCGTAGTATTCTTTATTTCAGGAGAAGAGCGATGCGTAAAGACATGCATGTATGGGTCGTTCCACGAAATGAGTGCCTTTTGAGTCCCTTTCATATTTTCAGTAGAAATTGTGCACCAATATTGTATTTTCAAAGCCTGTTATATTAAATAAATTGCCCTTTAATATACACCACATGGAAAATTTAATAAATCTAACGTGCCACAATTCAGCATTTTGACATGTCCCTCTGTGCACCCTCTGTGACTTAACCCCAACATTTCTCAAAGTTTTCACAATCATTGTAAAGCCTTAGTTATTATGTTGCTTTGACGAAGTCATTTCTGGTGATTGTTATTTATTTATTTAATGTGATTAGTGATCCATAAAAATAAACTGTCCCTCATTTTAAGGTCAACCCTGTTATGTGAACTGAACTCTCATTTTAATATGGTGAAACTATTCCTTTTAAATATTTTTTTCTAAATAAACATTATTGTCAAACCCTAGTGTAAAAGCAGGTGAGCTGGTTCTAATCTTTTTATGCAATTTTCTGGTGTTTTGTGGTGGAAAATTGAGCATATTATGTCAACCCTGTTACCCATAGATAGACAGACTAGAAATGTTTTAACAATTTCAATAGTTTTTGTCAAGCTTTAATTTAATCACCCCCCTCTCTGTTGCACAGCGGTATTTATGGCTGATTTAAGATTAAATCATCAACCCTGTTATGGACAACCCTGTTACTTTACCTGGCACTTAATAGGCACTTACTATCATCATTTTGTTTATTTAACCTCTTGAGATGGCAAAACATGTTTTTTATTAAGATGAACAGGTGCTCCTTATGACAGAACGTTAAAATTAGGTTAATAAATCACCAAGTTACTCTACTCAAAAGGCACCCAATTGGTGGAACGACCTGTATAGGTGAAGCAAGTACAACAATGTTGACTGCCAAAACTCCAAACATATTTAGTAAAAATGTGATGTATTTTGCTGTTGCTATTATTCGTTACTGTAGCCTATGCTATTTAATAAACGGACTAGGAGGAGAATATTCTGTGCCCCCCAGCCGAATTGGAGTTGATGGCAAAGCAAAAAACGTCAATAAATCAAATAAAATGTTATTTGTCACATGCGCCGAATACAAGCCCTTAACCAACAATGCAGTTTTAAGAAAAATAAGTGTTAAGTTAAAAAAAACATAATTAAAAATAAAAAAGGAAGAAAAATATAACAAATCTTTGTAGAGCAGCAGTAAAATAACAGTAGTGAGGCTATATACAGGGGGTACCGGTACAGAGTCAATGTGCGGGGGCACAGGTTAGTCGAGGTAATATGTACATGTAGGTAGAGGTAAAGTGAATATGCATAGATAATAATCAGAGAGCAGCAGCAGCGTAAAAAGATGCAAATAGTCCGGGTAGCCATTTGATTAGCTGTTCAGGAGTCTTATGGCTGGGTGTAGAAGCTGTTAAGAAGCCTTTTGGACCTAGACTTGGCGCTCCGATACCGCTTGCCGTGCGGTAGCAGAGAGAACAGTCTATGACTAGGGTGGCTGGAGTCTTTGGCAATTTTTAGTGCCTTCCTCTGACACCGCCTTGTATAGAGGTCCTGGATGGCAGGAAGCTTGGCCCCAGTGATGTACTGGGCCGTACGCACTACCCTCTGTAGTGCCTTGCGGTCGGAGGCCGAGCAGTTGCCATACCAGGCGGTGATGCAACCAGTCAGGATGCTCTCGATAGTGCAGCTGTATAACTTTTTGAGGATCTGATGACCCATGCCAAATCCTTTCAGTCTCCTGAGGGGGAGTAGGCTTTGTCGTGCCCTCTTCACGACTGTCTTGGTGTGTCTGGACCATGATAGCTGGTGGGTGATGTGGACACCAAGGAACTTGAAGTTCTCATCCTGCTCCACTACAGCCCCGTTGATGAGAATGGGGGTGTGCTCGGTCCTCCTTTTCCTGTAGTCCACAATCATCTCCTTTGTCTTGATCACGTTGAGGGAGAGGTTGTTATCCTGGCCCCACACGGCCAGGTCTCTGACCTCCTCCCTATAGGCTGTCATTGTTGTCAGTGATCAGTCCTACCACTGTTCTGTCGTTGGCAAACTTAATGATGGTGTTGGAGTCGTGCTTGGCCATGCAGTCATGGGTGAACAGGGAGTACAGGAGGGGACTGACCACGCACCCCTGATGGGCCCCGGTGTTGAGGACCAGCGTGGCAGATGTGTTGTTACCTACCCTTACCACCTGGGGGCGGCCCGTCAGGAAGTCCAGGATCCAGGTGCAGAGGGAGATGTTTAGTCCCAGGGTCCTTAGCTTAGTGATGAGCTTTGAGGGCAGTATGGTGATGAACACTGAGCTGAAGTCAATGAATAGCATTCTCACGTAGGTGTTCCTTTTGTCCAGGTGTGAAAGGGCAGTTTGGAGTGCAATAGAGATTGCATCATCTGTGGATCTGTTGGGGCGGTATGCAAATTGGAGTGGGTCCAGGGTTTCTGGGATAATGGTGTTGATGTGAGCTATGACCAGCCTTTCAAAGCACTTTGTGGCTACAGACGTGAGAGCTACGGGTCGGTAGTCATTTAGGCAGGTTACCTTAGTGTTCTTGGGCACAGGGACTATGGTGGTCTGCTTGAAACATGTTGGTATTACAGACTCAGTCAGGGACAGGTTGAAAATGTCAGTGAAGAAACTTGCCAGTTGTCAGCGCATGCTCGGAATACACGTCCTGGTAATCCGTCTGATTGTTGACCTGTTTAAAGGTCTTACTCACATCGGCTATGGAGAGCGTGATCACACAGTCATCCGGAACAACTGATGCTCTCATGCATGTTTCAGTGTTGCTTGCCTCGAAGCGAGCATAGAAGTAATTTAGCTCGTCTGGTAGGCTCGTCACTGGGCAGCTCGCGGCTGTGCTTCCCTTTGTAGTCCATGCTTCCCTGTATTAAAGTCCCTGGCCACTAGCAGCGCCGCCTCTGTATGAGCATTTTCTTGTTTGCTTATGGCCTTATACAGCTCGTTGAGTGTGGTCTTAGTGCCAGCATCGGTTTGTGGTGGTAAAAGGAGCGCGCGTTGTGCCTCACCAGAATCAAGGAGAAAGAGGTGACTACCTTCGATTTTCGGAGCAGGGCACCAATCAAGGGCGTGAATGAAAAGAAGGTAGAGAGTACGTCTGTGTTACTGTTTTTTGATGGGGAGTCGCTCCCTATACATGTCAAGATGGCATATGTGAGTTACACTGTGAGGGCATTTGTCCCCAGGTTACTGCAGTGTTCCAACTGCAAAGCGTTTGGACATGTGTCAAGTGTTTCCAGAGAGTATGACTTGAGTGATTGTTTTGCTGTGGAAGATGACGTTGCATGTCGCAATTGTGGTGGGAAGCATGAGTTCCCTGAATGTCCTGTAAAGTTGAAGGAGGCAGAGATCGCTAGGATAAGAGCTGTTCAGCGTGTCTCCTATGCAGAGGCAGAGACACCGAAGTTCAGTGCTGTGGGTTCCGTTCGCAAGGTGCAGGATCCAGATATCCTTGTCGTGAAGAAAGTCAATTTTTTGTAATTTATTGCTATGGTGATAAACTGCACTGCAGGAGTGGATAAGAACTCAAGAAAGATCGATATCATCTTATCTGCAGCTGAACGCGTCTTGGGAATGAAGGATGAAACAGGTGAGGAGCTGCATGGCGTACTGAATGGAGCAGCAGTTCTGTCCCCTCAGGTCACCAGATCTGAGTAGGGCTCTGAGTGTATTTTGAAGGACTGAGGGGTTTTTGTTTGGGATTTCCTCCCTTTTTTATTTCCCACATCCAGTAGTGGGCGGCAATACAACGTTTCAGGTGTAGTCTGCCCTAAAACACTACCGAAGAGGAATAATTTTCAAGAGCGCATAGGCTGGAGTGACATGTTGTCCCAGACTCTGCTAAACTCAGCTGTGTGAGGAATTATTGACGCTATGTCAAAGTTAAAGGTGCTCTGTCTTGTTTGAAAGTGGTCCTTTGTAGCTCAGTTGGTAAAGCATGGCGCTTGTTATGCCAGAGTAGTGGGTTTGATTTCAAGGAACACCCATACGTAAAATGTAAGTTGCTTTGTATAAAAGCGTCTGCTAAATGGCATATATTATTATTACTCTGTATTAGAAGGCAAATGTAGATTCAGTATATTGGCCCTTTAGATTATCTGTTTATTATTTTGACTCTATAAGTCTTTAAGTCAGTGTCCATCAACATCCTGTCAATATTAATAGATCCAATTTTGCACCTGAATTCCATCTGACTCCTGATGCTTCACACCGCACTGACAGCACTGTATGGTCCACTGTTCTCCACTATTTCATGAGAAATTCTTAGTACATCATAGAAAACCCTTGGTTGCAGGAGCCTTGGCGACTATAGAGGACTTAATAGTGGTCAGATACAGCCACCTACAGCCTCACCTCCTCTCTCCCTCAACCTTTCACCTTCCTCCACACCTCCTTACCCACACCCCATCACCTTTCACACACTCCTCCACCACCTCAACTCTCCACCAACATCCCCTCATCTTCTCTTTATCCCCCTAACCCATACACCCCTTACGTTCCCTTCCCATCCCTCACCTTGGCAGGGCCTGCTGCAGTCCTGCCAGGGCCCATAGGCGTCCCAGACGAACTGCTGGGGTTTATCCTCGATGGGGATGTTATAGGAGTACCGGACGTCTGGGTTGTACAAGTTACCTACAGAAAGCACCTGAGGAGTGAGAGGAGGGCAGAGGAACAGAACAATCAGTACAGTTCCACTGTTCCATTTGTATCATAACCAAATTAACTGTGTCACCTTCTCAACGGTCAGGTAAGAAGTTGTTACCTGGACAATAATCTCTTCCTCGATGCGGTCAGTGCAGTTGATTCTCTCGATGACGTGGTCGGATCCGCTGTACTCGATGACAGCATTGCCCACTTTGATTTCCCTTTTAAACATGCTGACCACAAACTCGCCATTGAGCAGGAAGTCACCACGACTGTTTGAAACAGCTGCAGAAAAGAGAGAGGAGGTGACACTTACATGGATAAATAAGATGGCATAAGATTTTGAAAGTACAGTACGGGACAGGGTGAAAAACCACAAGTGTCTTTAATGAGTTCCCTAAACTCCTTTTTCCTTCTCTTGAGGAAATCGAGCAGAGTGTTTGCATGGGCATACTGTAGAGTTGGTTTGAAAAGAGAGTCGGTCAACTGTAAACAAACTTTCACTTAACACAGTGATAAAAACATAGAGCAGCATAACAGCTGATGTTTTCATTTACAGTAAGGCCTGCAACAGAGAGCAGATAAACCTAATTGGGGTAAAATAATCCTACATTCCTACTGGAGGAATCTCAGTCCTCCTGTTCTGTTCATCAGTCAGTCTGCTGCACACATTCACACTAATGCGATTATGGAGCTAATTTCCTGAGTTACTTTCCTCGCCATTTCACACATCACAGTAATGTGGCCACAGAGACCAGCCCACTTCCCACAAGCCCCCTTACCCCCTGTTCCCTCCCTGTTCCCTTTAGGCCCCAGCACACCCGCAGAGAGTCACGCACGCACGCACACGCACATGCACACGCGAACAAAGAAACACCAAGAAACACAAGCATAGTAGCTTTTACGAGCAGCACAGAGAGAATGAAATTACACCCAGAGGGCTATGTGAGTTCTGGGTAATTAACGCGTTAGCATGTGTGCCCCAAACTCTCCAACATGCCAGGTTCAACGGGCCCTCCAAAGCTCTCAGCTGAGGACAGGCAGAACACTACAGTAGCACCACCAACCAGACATAACATATCTGCTCAAGAAGAGAATACTGTTGACACCTCTGAATGTTAGACATACTGAACTTTGACATGACAGACAGTGACAAATCAAATGCTCCAGCTAATGTTAAAATTCCACAGCCAACAAGACCCTAAAAGTGTTTTGATAGTGAGTTTGAGTCTTACCAAGGTAGTTATCGTCCTCTGGTTTCCCTGAGTAGCTGTGTTGACGCACATCAATATTTGTAGCACCACTGGGTATTCTCACCACTTCGTTGTATCCTGCAGCACAACAAGCAGAGGAGAACTCAACGTCTCTGAGTGGACATGACTAGGTCAGTGTTCAGTATATAATGGGATAGTGAAAAGGTTTCAATGACACTTTTTAGTCATTGTGATGACACACAGTTTGAACACCATGACTGGCACTGGGCTCACCATAGCGCACTATGTTGAAGGTGCCTGCCACGGTCTTGCACGAGGAGTTATCACCGCCACACACACCACACTTATCTCTCCTCGCCTTGGAATTCAACACATGGTCACATCCCGCTTGCTGCACAGGGATGAGAAGGAGAAAGGAGAGGAGGATAATGAGGAGAAGGAAGTGGAGGAGAAGAAAGTGTGTGTGGGGGGGGGGGGGAAGTCAGATGATGAGAGGGAGGGATAAATATCAGTTAGTACTACAGCATGAGACTCATCACTCTTACATTCATTTGCTTGACAGGATCTCATTGATAAACATTGACACAGCTGGGATTTTAGTATTTGTGCAAAAGTGTCATTAAAGTAGTGGAATTTCTTATGAAATCCTGTACTGTGCTCTGCAACCCTCTACCAGCATGCAGGGATAAAACCCTATGACCTAATGAATTGTTTCCTAATACACAGAATCTAACCCGGTTAAGTGTGTTAAGTTCATGTAACTGTAACACACCTGACAGGAATTCTCTATTGTAAACAGCACCACAGTGAAACTCTATTCTGGTATAATTGGTTTTAGTTCGAGTTGCCTGTAATAGGGATGATGGGCTTTAGAGCTTTAGCTCAACAGTACAGTAAAATGAAGAACCACACCTCCTCCGTGAATAATATTCTCCTCATTTTAAAAGAATGCCATTATGACAGCTGTTATAACAGCTCTTATGACTGTTATGAATGGCATATTAGGTTAACTGTCAGGCTGAGGTCGTTAAAGGCTGTGTGTCAGTCTCACCCTGCACAGGCCCTGCACACAGATGTCGTTGGTGTCAGGGCCACATGGCGTGCCGTCGATGACCCGGTCCCTGAGCTGGTAGTAGGCCGTGCTGCCAGCCACCCTGCAGAACAGCTTACAGCGATCCTTCATCTGAACTACAGGACAGAAGAGGAAGGGGGAATGGTGAAAACAGTCCACTGACCACATTAAAGGGGCTAATGAAAATTCAGCTATTTGGATGTTCCAACAAGTTCACATGACTCCTCATGCTATATCACATTGATTCACAGAGCACTCAGAATGCTTTTTGCACTTCTACAGAAAATCTTAGTTAGCTTACAATGGCACTCTTTCTAAAGGCCCAACAGTCCAGTCTATTTTTCTCTGTGTTAGTAAGATGCAAAACCAAGAAGGCTTAAAGAGAGAGGAGATTTTCTTACTTCCGCTGTACTTGGGTACCCAGCGCACGTTAGGAGGTAGACCGTTGATGTTGAAGTGCCGGCCATCGAAGGCAGCACACTGCTCCTCTCTGAAGTCTTTCTTCTGCTTGGAGCAGGGCTCTGAGTTACACGAGCGGAACTTCATCCTGCGCCCCACACAGTACTTCCCCCCGTTCTTGGGCCTGGAGGAAGGTGGTAGATAGACACATCGTCAAATCTGCTGTGACTGTACTTTAGGATTGCTATGGAAAGAATTCATTTAAGGAGGCTTGATGGTATGGTACGTTGACCACGGCAGCTCGTAGGGAGACACAGTCCAGTAGATGTGCATGACTACAAAGACTGTGCTTACACAGGTTGGTTGCACTCGCGCACGGCAATCTTGATGCCCCCGCCACACGTCCGCGAGCAGGAGCCAAATGGAGACCAGCCTCCCCACGCCCCCTCCACAGGGGTGGCGTCGTGCTCCTTGGGAATGCACTGGCCATGTTTACAGTGCTGTGGAGAGAAAGAGAGAGACAGAGACAAAGAGCGAGCAGAGAGAGAGAGAGAGAGAGAGAGAGAGAGATAGAGAGAGAGAGAGAGAGAGAGGGAAGAGAGAGGAAGGAGAGTGATCTTCGTCTCGCAGTCTCTGCTCGCCTCGTAGAGCTCTCAGCATACTGATCTCGTAGCACCCGCTCATCTCTGCAGATCTGCATCCTCCTCCCCTCTATTGAGTATTATCGCTCGTGAAGAGGCGCATCTGAAGATAGCTCTAGTAGATGATTACTCGATTACGACAAGTCTCGCTCTCTCTAAGCTTTCCTAGCTCTCTCTCTCTTCTCTTTCTCTCCTCTCTCTCTCTGCTCTCTCGTCTTCTCCTCTCTCTTCTCTCTCTCTCTCCTCCTCTCCTCTCTGCTACGGTAAAGAGCATGATAGTATGAAACTTTAGTCTGCACACTGGCAACACATCTAACTGAAAGAACTTCACAACCTCCTTTGACGTTAATCTGGAAATAATTACAAAACGACTGGAAAAAGACGGAACCCAAAAAGAGCCCCATTACAAATGTGTCTGTCTGAGAGGAAGTTATATGTTTCAGGTTATAGCGGAGGATCCATTTCCCTTGGCGACAACGACTGCATTCTAAACAGCGGCAACCTCGGTGTTGAAGGGTTGAGCATAGCATAGGCTTGGCATGAGGTTGGTTTGTGTGCAGGAATACAATGTGTAAACAGAGCAGGCTCTGAACATATGTGCTATGGGACATCAGCAGCCCTTTTATATCAGACAGACAGGCAGGAAGTGAAGGGTTTGGTGCAGGGCCTAATTAGAAGCTACACTAAACCAGGAATGGAGAGGGAAATCTCCACAAGCCTCCATTCACAGTTCCACCATAAGCCTATTATTGCCTAATAATAATACCGTCTCTGAAGCAAACAAACCCATGTTTAAACAAATGGAGGAATTTGGAGCAACTGCCACATACGTCCCACTCATGTTCAATTACGAGTTTATATCGAGTCTTTATTGGTGAATTGATTTCTTGGCAGGTTTCTGTGAACTTGTTATTTTCTTTTGTCATTTGGGCTTTTTAAAAAATACATTTTATAGTTGTGAGTCATTTAAATAGCAGCAGGAACAAAGAAAGTTACAATCTAAGTTTCCTTTGTGGTTATTTATGGGGTGTATTTTGACAGTTCATAACATTGAATGTTTCCAGTATGCTCCAGCAAAGTGATAAAGCTGGCTTGGGGTATATGTGAGTGTGTTTGTGTGTTCATACACAGATATGTATGAAACTATTTTAGTCTCTCTCTCTCTCTCTGTGTGTACACACTACATAAGTATCTGGTGCTAGTCTCACTCTATCTTTCTCTTCATCTCACCCGTTCTATTTATCCCCATCTGTCCATTTCCTTCCCTCTCCCTATCAGATCCTTTCATCTTGCGGTACATCTCTCTGGTACTTGCCTTTCCTGGAGAGCACTCGGTCCCGTCGGCCCAAGGCATGTGTTGGGTCCTGCAGCCCCTCTGGGCCCCCTCTGGGCTGGTGCACCACAGTCTGCGGCACTGGACCTGGAGAACATTCACACACACAACACAACACACACACACACACACACACAACACAACACACAGTTACCATTCCCTTGCCTAAGCCCCATCCACAAACACAGACACAGTGCTATATACTCTTCCATGTCTTACAAGGCGTGTGCCCTTTAAACAAAGCCTGGAGCTTAGCCCTGAGAAACATCAAGCCCAGCGGTTTGCAGGGCACATTCAATCACAGCAGGAGTAGCATGTAAACAAATGCTTTAACACATACTGTACAGAAGGCCTAGCTGAGAGATAGCCAACTGAGACAGAATAAGGTGACTCTAGTATAGAATGTCTGGAGCCATCGACTATAGTAATGTAGGACTAGACAGTGAACTGTCATTTGAATTCTGCGTGGTCCATTCTCTTACCATATATGGGCACACCTGTGTCCCCGGCCCAAATATCAATTCACATTGTTTATTGACATTGTATATCCGTCCAGGCAGCTGCTGCGACAGACTGTATGGCCTAGAAATGGGCTCATCAAGTAAGCACTCGCCATACCCTGTGCTATTAAGAAATAAAAATAAATTGACTTAAAGAAAAAAGGAAAAAAAACAAAGACACAAACAGACAGAAAACACACTCAGTACAGATGGAGAGGTAGTATTCTGTACAATAACAGAACCCCTACTGTACGTAATACAAGGCTATTCCTATGAAAACAAGAGCTGGAGCTCTATTCAATCAAAAACTATATATGGAAGTAATAAACATTCCAAATATACACTAAAAACACAGAAGTTATGTTGTTTTCCTTTAACGCAGAAATGTTCAGATATCAGTTTTGATTGAATAGCTGACCGGTCATTTAACCCTTACTGCAATAAGTGTGCGGTGCTACTAATGCTAACGACAATAACACTTCTCCATAATGACATGCATGTATAAAATAGAAAACAATGGCTGTTACATACTCAAGGAACTCTGTGATGTATTTCCTGCTACACTTGGACCACATCCAGGGGTTAGTGTAGTAGTTGAGTGTGGGCGCCATCACATGCTGCTGCATTTTAACCCCCTCCTCTTTGCACTTGTTGCTGTCATCATGGGGCATGTTGAATCTGTCAGGGGGCCAAACCACAAGTGAGAACATATATTTACCACAACACACAGGTCTAACCCACCATCAATAGACCTACATGTTGGGCTGATTGCTAAACTAACCACTAAATGACCAGTTTTGGGAGATTTGTTTGACTGTGGTAAATAAATCATCATCCTTTAGGCATCCAGGGTTAACTGACTGGGCTGGTTGGGGTTAACATTAGCAGCAGGTCTGTGCAGGGGCCAGTGTCTGGGAGAGTAGGGTCACAGGGGATAGGTATTATATAGTATGGTACCTCTCTCCTATGGTACTGTAATGTACCATATGGTACCTCTATGGTACAATATGACAGGTAGGTACTGTATTCCACCAAGCTTTGTCGCTAAGCAGACTTGACGGCGCTTGATGCCAATAAGAATGGATTTCAACAATCCCACCTTTTGTGTGTGGCAAGAAATATTATTTGTCTAAGACACGAGGGTTGTTAAAGTCTGTAACAGTCTCCAATGTAGCAGCCTGGGGTTGTATTGCCAAGCTGGATGAAGGCTGGCTGGCTGGTGCATGCTGACTTGGGATGTTGCACATGCAGACTTAGGTATTAAAGCTTGGAGACATTTTAAGAGGAAAACCAGGGCCACATAAGACACCTGCCTGAGATAGCATGACTAATACAGCTTTAAAATTGTGATTACATGAAATCAATCAAAGAATAAAGAGCATGCAGTACTCACACATGGCCTAGTTCATGGGCGATAGTGAATGCAGTGCTGAGCCCATTATCCTCACTAATACTGCAGCTTCTGTATGGATCACACACTGTGCCTAGCTCTGCAAGCCCTGCAAACCAAGAGTATCACCATCTCATCATCATATTTGTTATGAGAGCATCGTCATCATCATCATTATATTGTCATCAGCACCATCAAAAGCAGAATCATTATAAGTACATCAATATGATTATGAAACTGTCATCAATCAAACGTTATGTTATACAGTCTGTATTGCATGTTTATTGAGAGCTCCTCTTACCTAAAGTGTCACACTTGTCCCGCGCTCGGCAGATGTCTTGCCTGTTAAGAACACACATATGGAAGTTATGTCACTGGTTTCACATCCCAAAACTGGGACACCAGAGACGCCTTATGTCAACTAGTGTATTCTTTTATATCAACAAAAGACAACATATTGCAGCGAATTCAGGGGGTAGCGACAGCGACTGTCAACCCAACACTTTAGCCATTACCCCAAGAGATGGTGATGAAAATGTCTGTGTCGTGGTGGGAGTGACAGTGTACCTGGTGATGAGAATGGCTGTGTCGTGGTGGGAGTGACAGTGTACCTAGTGATGAGAATGGCTGTGTCGTGGTGGGAGTGACAGTGTACCTGGTGATGAGAATGGCTGTGTCGTGGTGGGAGTGACAGTGTACCTGGTGATGAGAATGGCTGTGTCGTGGTGGGAGTGATGGTTCTCATCTTGGTGATTTTGCCTCTGTTGCCAGATACAGAAGTTCTTTAAAGTGGTCTGTGCATTGAAGGAAATGGTTGGGCCATCCTACAGCAGAGAGTACAAGGGAGAGGTTTACAGTACTGTTATGTGCTGCTGGAACTGATGAATGAATGCAATGCTTTGATCTTCTCTGAAATGGATTAGAGTTGTAATCTTACCAGCTCATTGTTTATTATGACTAACTTCACAATCACAATATTAATAAGATTTCCGATGCTGGGATCCTTGTAGATGGAAGACACCTGAAGGGTAAGATTATAGACACACAAATGTTTTTACATCAATACATTTCAGTATCCAGCATACATTAAACCCCTTAGGAGTCTACTCAATCAGTGGTTCAGATATTCTATATCAACATGCAGTTTTAAGGGAAGCAAAACCTGGACTCATAGTCCTATTTGAGAGGTTGATTATGGCTGCAGTCAGATCCTGTGGAGAATGCAGACGGCCAGGATCAGAATATAGGCTAGTTTAGCTACCCCCTAGGCACTCAGCCACAGACGCCTGAGGAAGCATTTATTGAAGTGGACAGGAGGATGCCATCTATGCGACATACCTGAGCTTATTTTTACACATTCATCAAAGCTCTCAGGACAGGTCCACCTCATGCTGCCCCTCTCCTGACCGTTAGACAATTTTTGTTTACTCCTTCCCTGGGCTGCCCTTTCCCTCTGAGCCCTCTGCCTGCCTGCCAATGTCCCGGGACAGAAAAGAAGACAGCCCCTTTCCCCTACAATCAAAGCTGGCTGGCTGGCTTGCGGTCGGTTAACTGAGCAGAACTTACGATAGACATTAACGTGAGTATGTAGTGCTGAAGGTTGCTCCCGTGATGTTCCACCATTTTGCTGTCTGCCACCACCATGACTTCTACAAAGCGGGGATAGGAGAGGAAGCGCTTTGATCTCCTGTGAGGTCCTGAGTCACCGCTGCTGTCATTAGCTGGCCGTCTGCTGCTCTCTCTCTCTGTTCTGGAGAAGGGATCGGCAGTCAGGCCTGCAGACAGGCTGTCCAGGTCATTCAGCATGCTGCTGCTGCTGCTGGCCAGCAGACGTCTCTTCACCTTGTCGCTGTTCCTCTTGTGTCTGTGTTTATGTCCTGGAAAAGAGATGGTCCAATATAAACCACAAGCTTATACTGCAAGCTTGCATCACAGGCTATTGCATTTATCATACAATCAACTCACATTCTCTTCCTTGAAAGCACTGTTTTTACTACTAGGGAATGCTTGTGAATGCATACAAAGTAAATATGCTGCTGCTCTTCTTTAATATTATTGCTGAAGGAATTAGTCAAAATGAATGAGTTGAGGTCCAAGGGCCTGGAGAGAGAAGGAGTGAAGAGGAGGAGGATGAGGGGGTGGGGGGGGGTTCACTTTAGGTAAGCCTGGCACTCGGCCACACACTAAAGATGGAGCAAAACCCCAACACATTAAGGAGGAGCGCCAGGGACTGGATGCCAGACTACACTGACTTTTTGTTTTTCAGGGGTTGAAGGGTGACTTCTGAGTCTGATTTTAATCTTGAGATGACAACCAAACGCAATGGAGTAGCACCAGTACCTCTTCACTCTTGTTTTCTTAGAAGAAAGATCACTAAATCTACACCAATTGCAATGCAACACCAGTCATAGAAAAAGGACTCTGTCTCCAGCACAAAGGTTGAACTGTTTCTGTTAACCATGATTCTTATCAGAATTAAACATATTCCCTCATTGAAAATCCAGAGCTACAAAGGGCCTTTGTAAAAGCCTACACAATGTCTTATATTCATCCCCACTTGTTAAAAACATACTCAAATGTATTTCTAAGACTTAATATTCATGTACAAGTCATACAATCTGAAATGTAACACACACAAGCAAACACACACTCAGGGGGTTCTCAGGGCCGAGGAGTTATCAAACACCACCTTCCTCTCAAAGGAACCCAAACACTCATCCTCAGCTCCTAATCGCCACAATCATACACAACCCTGCCATTTCAACTTCAAATCCTTCTATGTACACACTACACACACACGCACACGCACTCACACACACACACACACACACACACATGCACACACGCACACACATGCGCACACACACACACACACCCTATCACAAAGACCTTTCTTAGATGTGGAAAACAACTACATGCAGTGACATTTCTTGCATATTACTCTAAACCAATATAATTCAGATTTATTTTCATAGTAATGAATACTTAAATGTTTGAAGTTGGCATCACTTTCATACAATACAATTTACAGTGTCTTCATGGCAGGGGGCCTATCGTGTTTTCTTACCAAAGGACTACAGGAAGTGCTAGAGTCAACAGGAACTTGTGGCAATAAACTGAGATTTGGCGATACTAGGAAGAACTTCCAAAATGGTCTTCCTGTGCCTGAGCTGAAAAAGCACCTAGTTACAGTAGAACTTGCTTGGTAAATTAGAGGTGAGATGCATCCATATCCTGCCCTTTTCACTTGAAAACATGAATAACCTCTGACCTTTTGCACATGCATTGTAGTGTGCATTCCATCTGGATACAACTCTCTGTCATCAGTTGTTCATGTGAGGTTGCTGTGCAACAATTTGTTTGACTGAATGTTGGTGGGATCATACGAATGAATCCATACAGTTACATTGTCTATCAGATATGTCAGTCACTAAGAACCACTCATAACTTGTTATACTGTATCTGCCTTACAACATTCATTTACAACTTTGAACTAGTTCTTACTGTATTTCCTCAGTTTTATGAGCCAAATGATGCCACTGCTTTACACCAAAGTCTAAACATGACATCATAGTAGTATGGTCATGCCTGTAATATTAAAATGACTATAAAAAGTTCCTATCGCAAATTATATACTGAAGTTTTAGGATATATTACTGTATATGAGAGACAACGATTCTCCTTCCTTGCTTACGTCTGTTGGAACTCATTAAAGGCCGGGTAACAAGTTATTTTTTTTATCAGGGAGAATGAGACACACACACACACACAGTTGACTCACTGGCTTACTCAATGAAACTGACTCACCTAGCTCTAGCTCTCTCTTTCTCTGTGTGTGTGTGTGTGTGTGTGTGTGTGTGTGTGTGTGTGTGTGTGTGTGTGTGTGTGTGTGTGTGTGTGTGTGTGTGTGTGTGTGTGTGTGTGTGCGTGTGTGGATGAGTGTGTGTGCGTGTCCAAAATCCTCCTGACAAACTCTATAACACACAAAAAAAACAAATATCCGACCAAACATCTCCATTACTCTCATAATTTCAATGTACCTGATGTGTCACAAGCAGTGTCCTCCCCAGCTGCCTCTTTCTCAGAGGCGTTCTTCCTGTACACAATATGAGGTTTGGTATGTTCTTCTTCATAGTGTTCTCCATTGTAGCTGTGAAGGGGCTCCACAAAATATTCCCCTTCCGGTGACCTGAAAGTGCCAAGCTGAGGGGGAGAAAAAAGGAATGGTTTGAAATAAGTGCAGTAACATTGGAGCGTACTGCATTGACACACTCCACAGAGTAGTGGGAATGGTCCTTGTCAGGGCCCCCACTGGCTAGTCTTTCATTCACAGCTATTCATTTTATGATTATGTGGTGAAATACATGTATTTGCATGCATATTAGTAAAATGGTCCCTGAAAAAGAGAGGAAAAAGGAGAAGAATGAGGCCTATGATGCCTATCAGAAAACAGTGTGACTCTTATTGTTTGTTTCTTGGCACTGTTTGTAGACTCGATGGAAGCCTTGTTATATTTCACAGGCAGTGCTACTAGTTAACTTGGAGGTCAAAGATACACCAGACATGCGAAGTGCCAAGCTAAGCAATGTGGAAATAGCACTTATTTCTAATCTAGATTGAATTGGACAATGCTGCACTGGGCAATGCTACAGACCAATAGGGTGGCCCACAGTGAGCATAATTCGCCATGAAAATATATTTCATTGTTTATGTATGATGAAAAGATTGAAACCACCTCAAAGTAGTGAAAAGGGAATCTCACAAATATACTGTAGGTCTGCTGTATGCAAAATGTAATGACTATTAGGAATATTCACAATTGTGCTCAAATGCACACAAGATATAATGACCAACTATTGATTTAGTTGTGGGAGCCACTCACATTATTATGGAGGATGACTCATCTAATATTAAAATGCAAAGTGGAATTGAAATGAGATTTCTCTCTTTGCCCCACGGCAGCTAACTTCGTGCATTTTACATTTTAGTCATTTAGCAGACGTTCTTATCCAGAGCGACTTACAGTTAGTGAGTGCATACATTTTCATACTGGCCCCCCGTGGGAATCGAACCCACAACCCTGGCATTGCAAATGCCATGCTCTACCAACTGAGCTATGGAGCAAAGAGAGAAATGGGCAGTTCTATAGCTAATCACATGCTATTCTACACATTTTGCCATGAGGCTGAGAATGTTTTTGTTGCTGTTTTAAAGCTAATGGCCTGCAATTCTACACGTTTTGCCATGCACACAAACAAATGTGGGTTCCTCAAAGGTTCTTTGGGAAGGGTGATGGTTCTATGTGGAACCATAATGACTCAAATTCTTTGCTCTTTTAGTGATATTTAAAATGTAGGGGAGGGGGAATATATGGGGGATTGGAAGTGATGCAGACAATTACATTGATGGAAGCTACAATCTATCTGCAATATTAAAGCTGCTCTACCCCCCCCCCCCCCCCCAATTTATATATATATATATATATATATATATATATATATATATATATATATATATATATATATATATATATATATAAATAAATTGTAGGGTAGGCGGCTCATTCGAATATTTTGGGGCGTGGTTTGCGCGCAGCTCTTTTTGTGCAACCGTGAGTGAGAGAGTCATTCCAGTTTATCTCATGTGTTGTGTTATGCCATTGCATATTATAAATTACTATGGCCAATGACACTGGCTTGTGAGACCCTCCTGTATGGCCTTGTGCCAATTGAGAACAGTTGACTAAATCAGTGAATGGTTCTCAATTATTTTCTCAGATACTCCTAGCTTTTCCAGAGGTGGTGCACTTGATTCAACTTGTCAATTAGCACAATAATAACACCAATGGAATTTTAACAGTATAATATGGGTGACCAAAATTAAAAACCATGTATGGTTCTCCAAAAGGATTTACAGGTTCTTTATAGAACCATTCTCCATAAAGGTTATACAAAGAACCATAAAAAAAGGTTCTATATAGCCTCAAAAAGTATTGTAACCATAGCAGAACCCTTTTTTGGTGCTATATAGAACCATTTTAATGGCACCATACAGGTTCCATTTAGTACCTTATGAGCATGTTTCTTTATTGAACCTTCAACAAAGGGTTCTATATAGCACCAAAAAGGGTTCCGCTATGGTTACAAGCCAAAGAACCCCTATCTGGTACTATTTAGAACCATCATGTTTTTGTGTGTGGGGCAGAGAGGACAATTAGCTCAATTTGTTTTATAGCTCATCTCATGCTATTCTACACATTTAGCATTTTTAAAGCTAAAATAGAGGCGTGTTGACTAGGCTTGGGCGGTATACCGTATATACCGTATGCCGGGGTATTTGGAAATAGAAAAGGGATGTTTTTTTAATACCGTCAATACCATTGAAACCATTTCTTTGAAGTTGTTTTATTTATTATTTAAATATTTGTAGCTAATTTTTAAGTAAATACCTGCAGTCTTGTGTAATATGTTAGGTGATAAAGAAGATTGCACTCTTAATTTCACCTGTCACATAATTTTTCATTACGAAGCTTACCGGTAGTACCCAGTCACATGGTGTTTGTTTACAAGCACACAACGACGAGAGACCCGGAGCCTTGTGTGTCACTCACTGTTGTGCAGCACGCGCCAGGTGATCTAGTGACAGTATGGAATTCACAACTAAATGTTGGATAAAGTTGTGTGTGTCAACTGTAGGGGTGCCCATGTTACTGGGGATCGGAAGTGTCCGGTGCGAGAAAGGCAGTTTGAGGTGGCAAGAGTCAGAGTAGTGCAGAAAGTGTTGTATGCTGAGGCAGTGAAGAAAGTAGAGGATGGGTTAAGGGATCCCTGTGAGTAGTAGATTTGTGCCAGTACAGATGGATAGGCCAACGAGTGACATACTTTTCAGTAAGATTGGCTTATAAGCGTTCATAGCAATGGTTATTAACTGTACTGCAGAAATGGAACGTAAATCACAGAAAATTGATGTTGTGGTTGCAGCTGCAGAGAAGTACTTGGGTGTACGAAATTTGACATCAGAAGAGTTACAGGGTGTGTTTAGTGGTGGTGTCCTTTCCTCTGCAGGAGCAGATAGGGACAAAGTAGTGGGTTTTTAAATGAGTGTAGGGTTAGTTGGAAGGTTGTTTTATTATTTGTTTTTATTTTTATTTTCCCCATTTCCAATTTTGTATCACAAAGTATAATGGATTTATACTATCGTCCAGTTGGGGGCGGTAATGCAAAATATTGGATGCCAACCGCCGTTAAACCCCACAGAAGAAGAAGAAGACCCACTAACCGTTTGCCAGCTTTACATTTTATAACTATTCCAAATGAAATCAATTTTTATTTGTCACATGTGCCGAATACTACATGTGTAGACCTTACCGTGAAATGCTTACTTTCAAGCCCTTACAAGCTTATTGGGGTTGTGGCTTTCAGTAAGTTATTTTTGGCAACCCAGAGTGAATGTCATTCCAGTTAATCTGTTCTGTTATATTTAATCAAATCTGACTAACCCAGTGCAACGCTCGCTATGAATTACAGTATATCTGATGGTGTTTGCATGTTTAGGTAAAAAGACAAATAATGTCCCGTTTGGAACACTGACAAGTAAAGAGCATTATTATTATATATTTTTTTGCTCAATCTGATTGGGTGGGGCTGGCTCCCCTGAGTGGATATAATTCATAATGTATCAGTGGTCATATACCTGCTTCCGACTGTTTCCCTGTGAATAGGTCCAGAGCAAGTAAAAGTCCTTAGATGTATATGAATTAATAGCCTATACATGCTTGAATCATTTAAACTTTCTAATAGTACATTTTATTGGCCTGAACCACACCCATAGACCAACATTAACTTTGTTTTATTTTAATGTCAAATGATCTCCCCAATCTATCTAGGCTTATGGTGCAGGCAAGTCCCATTTGTTTAATTTGTGATGACCTCAATGATATTCACATGGGGAATTTAACTGTTATTATTACAATCTGTAAGTATCAATCGTGTAACTCAGTTGGTAGAGCATGGCGCTTGCAACGCCAGGGTTGTGGGTTCGATTCCCACGGGGGACCAGTATGAAAAAAATTAAAAATGTATGCACTCACTAGCTGTAAGTCGCTCTGGATAAGAGCGTCTGCTAAATGACTTAAATGTTTTAAAAAAATCAACTCCACACAACGTCATGCATGCATGGAGATAATGTCCCTGTCTGAGACTCAATCGTGATGACGTCAGCACCACTGGCGCGCCCTCTGCACTGATGTGCGTAGCGTAGGACGTCACCGGCTACCAGAGAAGCGTGCATGCAGAGTATGATGGCTGAAGTTGAGGAGCAGAAGGAGACTACTAGGCTCAAAGTTATTTATGTGAGCAGCTCATTTTAAGATACAAGAGCTAACATAATGGCTCTCTCTCACTAACAGTCACCACTTTTAAGTTGAACACAAATGCACAAGGCTGGAAAAACGCGCTTTGTGCAGAGGTAGAAATGCACTCCATTACCAGGGTAAGGTTCCCCTAATGTTCTCATGTTGTCATAGTATTACAACAGCTGTATAAACTATTAGTGTTACAGTTTCATATCTGGTCAGATAACAGGTGCGCCTATCGTAGTGCAGAGAGACGTTGTATCACACTGTATCAAGGGAGGGCTACTCAAAGTGCTTGGACTCACCAATCCAGAGCAGAGACTGATGACTGCGGTGTGCTCCGTTTGAGCATTCACATGTCCTTTATAGAAGCAGTGCTGATACTCCGTATCCTCCTCTGCCTCCTCCTCCGGGGTGAAATCCGTTATGTTACCTATAGGTGCTCCAAGTACTGTCACAGTGTATAGCGGAGCGATAAATCCTGACTCGAGTGTCAGGTTGAGGTGATAGTGCTGTCCAAACGCAGATATTTTGTAATGGATTGATGGCGAGACCCAATGAACAGAGGAGTTGCCTGGGCTATCCTCCACACTCCGCTTTTTCCGTTTGAAGTGCACGCTCGTGGGAAAGTTGTCACCGGCTTCATTCACACGCGCCGGAGTTACAATCTCATATGCGCCAAGCTGCTCGGAAACTTTAGCTGGTGAAGAAAGCCATGGTACAACGGGTATAGAATTAGCAATGGTAATAATAGGCTTATAATAATAATAATAATAATAATAATAATAATAATAATAATAATAATAACAATAATGTTATATGAGTTAATTACGTTTGCCTCTGTGAAGTGAAGTCATTCAAGAAACATAAGATCATTATAAATGCATTGCAAGTCATGTGCTTTGCTGATCCTGAAAAAAGTCATTCATTCTCTGTCTGCCGGTTAGCCTACAAAATAGCACATCACATGGTCATTTTTTTGTTGGTAAATCGAAATACGTTACCTTTTCTTGAACTCAATAGCGATCTCCCCGTGGATGCCACTACATTCAAAAAGTCAGGGAGAAATAGCAAAAACCCTAGTCCCCAAAACAGCATATGCATGATTGTCCACGTTAAGTAGAGAGCGCCACCCCGAATATAGTATTTCTCCTTCACTGCCCGTGCTCCGGTCACTCGGTCTTACCACCGTATTCAAACTCTCAAGTGCGCGCCACATCCAAATCGATTATCCTTGACTCTTGGGTGGGGGGTTTCTCACCTGTAACGTGTGTTGGGTCGTGAGCGGTTCGCAGATACCCTGGCGAACATGCTTACTGCAGAGAGACGGGTCGGAGAGACAACTGTGGTGGGCTACACTGCACACACCACAGACTGCTGATTTCGGGGCGGGATTAGTGAAAGGTACATTACTGGAGCACGCCCTTATAAACAAGCCACTCCCATTTCTGTGACATACATACAGAATTCACTTAGGCCTACAGTATGATTGTGGTATCACTGAAATTACTTGAGTTAAACATGTTCAATTATGATTGCTGGCGGTGGTGGAGCTGTTCTTTAACTGGAAACCATGAAGGAAGTATAGGTCAATAAGCCATGAGACATTACATCATTTGATGTATAAAGGCATCACTTACTTTTTACTGATGGCTTTATTAAGCTACATCTTCCTCCTGACATTAGCCTACATGGGGTCCTTTGTATAGACACTGAGATCTAAGGGTTCTACTCCACATCCAGCCTTCTACTGAATCTACCTCATTCACTGTCTTTACAAATAAGGAGTTGCTTGGATCTTTACATTTAGAATTTAAAGTAATTGAGTTCCTCTAAATGTCTCCCCCCAACTCGCCTGGAAGGCTCTGTCAGCTCAGCTCTGTCAGCCCAGGACATGAAGAAATACGTTTTACCAGGCAGACATGTTCTTGAGATTAAAACTAGTCTAAATATCCTTGTTACAACACCGACCAGGGCTAGAATAGTTGAACCTGTGACATAGATGCCTCAAAGCACTGCTTAAACACTCCCTAAGTTTGATCAGTGTGTCACCACTGCACCACAACACTAGATTCCTGGTCACCTCCCAGCGCACGTAGTGATAAATGTTAGCAGATGGGACGTTACAACTAATTTCTTTGGTACGATCAACACACATGACCATTAGAACTGTTAATATGGTTCGCAGGTGCACACCTAAAACAATAGCCTCATAGGAAATGCCTGTGGTGTGCTCAGAAAAAAGCCTATAGGGAGGAGGGCCAAGCACGCCCCCATTCACATCGACGGGGCTGTAGTGGAGTTGGTCAAAAGCTTCAATTTCCTCGGTGTCCACATCACTAAGGATCAATCATGGTCCACACACACCAACACAGTCGTGAAGAGGGCACGACAACGCCTCTTCCTCCTCAGGAGGCTGAAAAGATTTGGCATGGGCCCTCAAATCCTCAAAACGTTATATAGCTGCACCATTGAGAGCATCTTGACTGGCTGCATCACCACTTGGTATGGCAACTGCTTGGCATCCGAACACAAGGCGCTACAGAGGGTAGTGCGTACGGCCTAGTAAATCAGTGGGGCCGAGCTCCCTGCCATCCAGGACCTCTATACCAGGCGGTGTCAGAGGAAGGCCCTAAAAATTGTCAAAGACTCCAGCCATCTAAGTCATAGACTGTTCTCTCTACTACTGCACGGCAAGCGGTACCGATGCACCAGGTCAGAAACGAACAGGACCCTGAACAGCTTTCACGCCCTAGCCATAAGACTGCTAAATAGTTAACCAAATAGCTACCCAGACTATCTGCATTGACCCTTTTTGCACTCACTTTTTGTGATTCATCACATACACTGCTGCTTCTGTTTATTATCTATCCTGTTGCCTAGTCACTTTATTCCTAGTTATATGTACATACAGTGAGGGAAAAAAGTATTTGATCCCCTGCTGATTTTGTACGTTTGCCCACTGACAAAGAAATTATCAGTCTATAATTTTTATGGTAGGTTTATTTGAACAGTGAGAGACAGAATAACAACAAAAAAATCCAGAAAAACGCATTTCAAAAATGTTATAAATTGATTTGCATTTTAATGAGGGAAATAAGTATTTGACCCCTCTGCTAAACATGACTTAGTACTTGGTGGCAAAACCCTTGTTGGCAATCACAGAGGTCAGACGTTTCTTGTAGTTGGCCACCAGGTTTGCACACATCTCAGGAGGGATTTTGTCCCATCCTCTTGCAGATCTTCTCCAAGTCATAAGGTTTCGAGGCTGATGTTTGGCAACTCGAAACCTTAAGCTCCCTCCACGATCTTCTATGGGATTAAGGTCTGGAGACTGGCTAGGCCACTCCAGGACCTTAATGTGCTTCTTCTTGAGCCACTTCCTTTGTTGCCTTGGCCGTGTGTTATGGGGTCATTGTCATGCTGGAATACCCATCCACGACCCATTTCAATGCCTGGCTGAGGGAAGGAGGTTCTCACCCAAGATTTGACAGGACATGGCCCCGTCCATCGTCCCTTTGATCGGTGAAGTTGTCCTGTCCCCATAGCAGAAAAACACCCCCAAAGCATAATGTTTCCACCTCCATGTTTGACGGTGGGGATGGTGTTCTTGGGGTCATAGGCAGCATTCCTCCTCCTCCAACACGGCAAGTTGAGTTGATGCCAAAGAGCTCGATTTTTGGTCTCATCTGACCACAACACTTTCACCCAGTTCTCCTCTGAATCATGCAGATGTTCATTGGCAAACTTCAGATGGGCCTGTATATTGTGCTTTCTTGATCAGGGGGGACATTGCGGGTGCTGCAGGATTTCAGTCCTAACGGCGGTAGTGGTTTACCAATTGTTTTCTGGTGACTATGGTCCCAGCTGCCTTGAGATCATTGACAAGATCCTCCCGTGTAGTTCTGGGCTGATTCCTCAACTGTTCTCATGATCATTGCAACTCCACGAGGTGAGATCTTGCATGGAGCCCAGGCCGAGGAGATTGACAGTTATTTTGTGTTTCTTCCATTGCAAATAATCGCACCAACTGTTGTCACCTTCTCCACCAAGCTGCTTGGCGATGGTCTTGTAGCCCATTCCAGCCTTGTATAGGTCTACAATCTTGTCCCTGACATCCTTGGAGAGCTCTTTGGTCTTGGCCATACTGGAGAGTTTGGAATCTGATTGATTGATTGCTTCTGTGGACAGGTGTCTTTTATACAGGTAACAAGCTGAGATTAGGAGCACTCCCTTTAAGAGTGTGCTCCTAATCTCAGCTCGTTACCTGTATAAAAGACACCTGGGAGCCAGAAATCTTTCTGATTGAGAGGGGGTCAAACACATATTTCCCTCATTAAAATGCTAGCCAACTTATAACATTTTTGACATGCATTTTTCTGGATTTTTTTGTTGTTATTCTGTCTCTCACTGTTCAAATAAACCTACCATAAAAATTATAGACTGATAATTTCTTTGTCAGTGGGCAAACGTACAAAATCAGCAGGGGATCAAATACTTTTTTTCCCTCACTGTATCTACCTCAATTACCTCATAGCCCTGCACATCGACTCGCTACTGGTACCCTGTGTATATAGTCAAGTTATTGTTACTCAATGTGTGTTTATTATTACTTTTATTATTACTTTTCTATTATTTCTGTATTTTCTTTCTCTCTGCATTGATGGGAAGGGCCTGTAAGTAAGCATTTCACTGTTAGTCTACACCTGTTGTTTACGAAGCATGTGACAAATAACATTTGATTTGATTTGATAGTATAGCTGGATAAGCCATGAGAAATGGAATCATTTGATGTATAAAGGCATTATAAAGACATCGCTTACTGTTTACTGATGGCTTTATTAGGCTACATCTTCCTCCTGACATTAGCCTACATGGGGTCCTTTGTATAGACACTGAGATCTAAGGGTTCTACTCCACATCCAGCCTTCTACTGAATCTACCTCATTCATTGTCTTTACAAATGAGGACTTGCTTGGATCATTACATATAGAATTGAAAGTCATTGAGTTCCTCTAAATGTCTCCAGCCATTTCTCTCTCTCTCTCTCTCTCTCGCTCTCTCTCTCTCTCTCTCTCTCTCTCTCTCTCTCTCTCTCTCTCACAAACATTTTACATTTTACATTTACACACCACACACACACACACACACACACACACACACTCATATGCAAAGAAGACACCGTTTATTCTTCAATATGTATGAGTGTGCTTATCATACATGCAAGATAAGTAGCCTGGAAGGCTCTGTCAGCCCAGGACATGAAGAAATACGTTTTCACGAGGCAGTCATGTTCTTGAGATTAAAACTAGTCTAAATATCCTTGTTACAACACCGACCAGGGCTAGAATAGTTTAACCTGTGACATAGATGCCACAAAGCACTGCTTAAACACTCCCTTGGTTTGATCAGTGTGTCACCACTGCAACAAGTGCACCACAACACTAGATTCCTGCTCTCCTCCTAGAGTACGTAGCGATAAATGTTAGCAAATGGGACGTTACAGCTAATTTCTTTGGTACGATCAACACACATGACCATTAGAACCGTTAACATGGTTTGCAGGTGCATACCTAAAACAATAGCCTCATAGGAAATGCCTGTGGTGGGCTCAGAAAATGAATAACAGTATAGTCTAACCACAAGAGCTTTTTTGATGGATAACAGACAAACAAAATTGTGATAGCCAACCAGCTTG